TRWCAKTAMWARARRWACAACCATGAAGCTACGTCAACTGTCGAAAAGCTCCCGGTACAGCTACTTTTACAGATGCTATCAACGCTACTGCCGCCATTCCTGGACTCCTCTCCAGAAGCCACAACCACTTTGTATACGCTACTCATCAGGCGCATACATCAAACCCCCTCCCACTTGTTCCTTCAGCTCTCCTTCCTGTTTAAGGACCAGCTTCTCCATCTTCTCGAAGCCTTGTACAGCCTCTCCGTACTTCTCGAATACACCCTTAGTGTACCCGTCAGCCACCTTCTTGACGAAGCTAGCCTCATCCCAGCGACTGCCGATTAAATCCTCGAACGTCTGACCAGACTTTCGCTCACAGCCCCAGACCGCCTTGTACGCGGCTCCTAGTGCACAAGCATTACCACCGATATCAAGCTTGTACACTCCCTCGACAGAACCTAGTACCTCACCAGCAATTTTGGCGATCGCCGGGTTCGCAGACCCGCCACCTACGAGGTAGACTCGTCTTGGTTGTGCTGGTAGGACCTCGCCAGTTTTGACATCTTTCTCCGGCTTGACGAGGTTATGTGAGCGTAGTCGCAAGGAAAGGAACTGGCTCTCGATGATATTGCGTGCATCCGACTCAGCGAAATCCGTGGACGCTGACCTCAAGTCTCCTGACTGTGGGTCGTAATCGTATCGCCACTGGCCTGCATGGAGGTTTGGAACGATCTCAGGCCGCGGGAAATACAATCCAAGGCGCATGGAATTGTTCGTTTCTTGTGAAAGTGGCGATGTAGAGACAGCAGTGGCGTTGAACTTGTCCCAGTCACCGGAGTCGTTGCCATTTAGCTTATCTCTGATCTGTTCCCTGGCGAGGCCTCCGTTCTTGTAGCACAGCATGAACATGAATAGGCCTGGCGTCGTTGGGTGATTCATAAAATGGTACGCGGGATCTGGCTTGTACTATACGACACCGAGGTTAGTAAAACATCGTAAGCCACCAGAGAGAGCCGATATTGTGGGCGATTATTACTCACCTGCTTTGTGCTCATCAGGAACGTCGTGCTTGTGCCTAGCGAGACCATGGCATCGTCCGCGCGGAGTGGTAAAGCCAAAATGGTTGAAGGGTTGTCTCCTGTGAAGGGAAGGATCTCGCACTCCTTAGAGAAGCCATATCGTCCAACAAAGTAATCGCTGATGTTGCCGAATGACTTTCCTCCATCCTTCGAGACCTCGCCGAGCTTCTTTTTCAAACCGCCGGCATCGCCACCAGCGGCAAGAGCCAACAGGGTGTCATCCCACTCTCCTTTCTCAATGTCGAATAGGTTCATACCCGTGACATCACTGATATCGATGGGAGCAATTTTACCAAGGAGGACGGATGCGAGAAATGACGAGACCAGTGATATTCTCGCCGTTTCCTCATAGTGGGACGGATACTTGGTCCTGTAACGAAGGATTTGCGGGCCACTGAATCGATGATGTGCCTTTGAGCCCGTCACTTTGGCCAAGGTCTCCGGATCTCCAAGCTCGACGTCGAAGAGGTCACACTGCTTTTGTGTGCTTGCATCTTGCCAGTTGGGACTCATCGGGTGAGCGAAAGCTCCCTTTCCTGTGACTTGATGCATCAGTCCAAGATTAAATGCTTCCTAATCAGACGAGGAATGCTGCTTACCTGTGGTCCCACCATCTAGCTGACTGGCCAAAGGCTTGCTCGAATCAAGGCTTGAAAGTAGCTTCTCAGCGTCCCTGGACCRGAACACTGTGCCGTGCTGCATGCCAGCACCAGAAACACCCTTCACTCGACCAAAATCGAGTCCAGCATCCTTCAATCGACCAAGAACCAGGTCTACAGCATCCAACCACATGGATGGCGGCGCGAAGACTTCGCCTTCYGCGGGGTTGGTAAGAACACCTTTCTCGATGCCATATTTCCCCAAGTCCTTATCGAAGTCGACTTTGGCTTCGTGAATCAGCTTCAGCTTCGAGTCCACAACAATGCCTGGAGTCGTCAGCTGTTGAGATCTCGAGCGTGTATGACGGCGGAACAAACCTTTGAGTTGCTGTGTGCTGAGATCGAATCCCTGTTGAATGTCATCTCAGTATATTGAGCTTCTGTAACTCGTGAGGCTCGTGCTGACACTTACCATGTATAATGGCTCATTGCCTGCCATTATGAGGAAGATTGACAAGAGTGTTGCACACGCGCAAGCCCGACCAGAACAATATTCTACTCACCACGGTAGGAATGTTGTTCAGTAGAAGTCTGACCGTAGAAGAGACAAGTTGTCGTAGATATTGCGTAGAAAAGTGTTGAAGATGATGTAAATGCGCAGGGTCTCAGAATAGCCTAAATGCTGGCGGCTGTCCTTTCGATTCACTTCCTAGACTGGAATGTTCACTCATCAAACGGAAAAACTGCAGAGTCACTTTCGTAGCATGCTCATTTCCGAATCGTACACATCGCTCGTGGGCTCGTATATACAGCAGGACAGTCAAGTGCAGCAAGTTCGTCGTCAAGTTCTCTTACCCGAACCAGAGCTCGCACTCGCACTCGCACTACTCTTCATGCTGTCYGTCCTCTGGCGCCCGGTGCCGCCCCGAATGCTCTCTAGAACATCCTTGCCGAGTTTCTGTGCCATGAGGTTATTCTGCGACTGGAGTTCGGTAACCTGTTCCTGTAGCAGCACGTTCTCTTTCCTGTACAGTTCCTTTTGTGTCCTGAAGTCGTCACGCTCCCTTATAAGCATCTTAATCCTAGTCTGGTCATCTTTCTTCGCTCGCTTCTCCTCAGCTTTGCGAACCTCCTTTGCCTTCTTCGCCTCGAGCTTCTCAACATCTCTCCGATGCTTCTCCTCCGTCTTCTTCAGTTCGCGGTCCATTCTCTCCTGATGCTTAGATTGATCCTCCGAGTCCTTATCCCGTGACTGTCTGAGCTTGAGTTCTTCCGTAATACGCTTTTTCGCTAATTGTTGGTTCAACTTTTCTCGCTTCCTTATTAGCTTTTGCACCTCCCTGTCGTGAGAGTTGCTCAACTCCTTTGAGAGTTCTCCATCGCCGCTGACAATGCTGGCGGCATCGCCGTCAATCACAGTGGTTTCTGACCTCATTTCATCCGCAGACATGAACGAGTCGGACGAGGAAATGGAGGAATCAGATATTGAAGTGAGGTCATCCTCCATCGCATGACTTTTCGAGTGAACCAAGTTGGCGACAGACGTCGGAGCATAAGTCTGGATTCCAGCGCCTATGGCAGAAGTGATGTTCGACAAGACACCTCCCTGCGAGTCGATTTGGCTGGAAGGCTCTGAAGTAGTTTCTAAAGCGGAGAGATCCTTTTCTCCAGCAGCGCCCTCACTTGGATGTTTGTGTGCAACGGTGGTCTCCACGGTCTCGGTCTCAACTTGCTGCTCGATAGTGCCTTCCTGATCCCGCAGGTCCTCATCTGGGTGCAGGATTTCATCTTGACTGCAAGCCCAATCGAAGAACTTATGGACGTCTGCCATGATGCTCTCCGGAGTCCCTCGCTCGACGAGAAATCTCGGAAGACCTCCTCCAGGATCACTCCTGGTGACCATTATCCACTCAACGGGATTGAGCTCAGGATCGCCTCCTTCGCTATCCGTCTTAGTATCCGCGTCTTTCGAATCTGTTCCCTCCGACAGAACGTTGGGAGTCGACTTTGCGGGTGCAGTGGAGAGCGGTATTTCTCGTATCATTTCCACAGACTCATACTTTCCACGGACATAACCAGGACGTTCCACGGCATCCGGATAGTCAACAGGCCTTGAGACAAGCATGAAGTGTCGAGGCATATGCTGCTTGCCGCCCTCAACTTTTACCGCGCTCTTGTCTGTCAGTGCCTCGTCGCTACTGAGTAACATTGCCACAAATTCTCGTGGTGTCGTAGGTCCTGGAAATTGGGCACTCAGCTGGTATACTTCCAGCTTACCCACACCATCCATATCCTTCCTCTCGAACCGTTTGTCTGCCGCAATGCCTCGCACAGCTCCTGCACCGGGACCACCCTTGACTGATAGCGAGAGTGGAAACTCTCTCAGCATTGCCCGCTTCATCTTGTCGAATCCGAGTCCCTCGTGAACGCTTTTCCGTGCGAACCAAGCTCCATGCCGATCGTTTCCTGCCATTTTGTACACATGCACGTTCAATGGATTGTTCTTAAACTTCTGAGGCTTGCCCCAATGTTTGCTGAGATCTCCATGCTCCGGACTGGGTGGCGGTGGGAGCGTGGTCGAAGGGTGCATATCCTTGTGTGAAGTCGCCTTGTTGGGCTCGTCGTAGAACGGCTTCGCATCTTCAAAGGGCGTGCCATTGGAAGGTGGTGGTACCGAGTTGCATATCAGCTCGCCAGCTGCAAAGGCCTCGGAAAGGTAGGGCTTGAGGTCATCGTGGGGCACATTGTTCCAGTCGACGGCCGAGAGCTGCGTGAGAGCATTGTGAATGTCGGCCATGATTTTCACAGATTGAGCATGTCGAGGGCAGCGGAGGCAGAACGGGAAGGTAGATGTTACCTTGCTGCCGCGTGCATCTACTTAGCTTCACTTCCCTGGCGCGATGATGATGATTGATGCAAGGTATATATCGCAAGCCGCGGACGGCGGCGGCGGAAACGGAAACGGGCGGAGTGTCTACACAAACACGGACGGCAGGGTGAGGTATTGTGTTGGTGCACTGCTCGGTCCCACATCTCAAGAGCTGCATGTGCCTTGATCCCCTCATGCCGTCATTGTTGTCGTCCCTGTTTGAGACAACGCGAAGCATGAATCTTGTTTCACAACAGATCCACTAGTTCTAGCGATAACTTTCATCCGTCACAAGGGCCTGCAGATTGTGTAACCGACGAAGAAACTCGAAAAGCTGAAAAGGAATCCAGAAGTGTGATACAAGCTTGTAATTGCTGACGAAATCGCCTCTCGTAAGGACTGACACGCAGTGCCATTCTCGAGTCTCCTCTAATGGCAAGGCGATCGTACCGTGATGCAGAGATCACACAATGTTGTAAGGGTAGAACCTCACTCGCGGAGCCGGTGCTGGCACTTAACATGATAAGCTCCTTGACTTCGTTGTATCAGAACATGGCGGTCGATCTGCTCGAAATCTCCTTTATATTTGTTTACCTTCTGTCTACTCATACCTTCATAGCTTCGAAAGTTTCCCCGACTCTGCACTCCAAGACCGAGTCAGCAGTGTTGCTCCGCCAATGACTGTTCACAGCAGTAACTCACTACGCGAGCAAGTACTTGGCCGCATGCTCAACATGATCGCTCGCAAACGTGCTAATAAAAAAGTAGCTGTGGTCGTATCCGTCCTGATACCTCACGGTCACCTTCTTCCCAGCCTTCTTTGCCGCCTCTTGCAGATTTTCGGGTAGAAGTTGCTTCTGCTTGTAGAAGTTGTCACCGGTGCCCACATCGATCAAGATATCGGTATCGTTGGGGTACTTGGGCAACAGCTCGGTAGCGTCGTGTTCTGCCCACTTCGACTTGTTGTCTTCGCCAAAGTAGCCCGAGAATGCCTTCTCACCCCATGGGCACTTGGTCGGGTTGGAGATGGGTGCGAAAGCTGAAACGGACTTGTACTTGCCCGGGTTCTTCAGGAACAGAGTGAGAGCACCGTGACCTCCCATGCTGTGGCCCGTAATAGACACCCGGCTTCCATCGAGCTCTTTGAAATGGCTGAACAGTGCTTCAGGTAGCTCGGAAGTGATGTAGCTGTACATGTTGTAGCCCTTGGTCCATGGCTCCTTGGTGGCATCAACGTAGAAGCCGGCGCCGCTGCCAAAGTCATAGCTCTCGTCTTCGCCTTCAATCTGAAGACCACGTGGAGATGTGTCGGGGTAGACGACTGCAATGCCTTTCTCCGAGGCCTTGGCCTGAAGGAAACCCTTCTCCGCGCCATTGTCACCAGTGCAGGTCAATCCAGCCAGGTAAAATAGAACGGGCGCGGGCTTGGAGGAGCTGGCCGATGGGGGTACATAAAGGTTCAGCTTCATTTCACAGTTGTTGACTTTGGACTTTACAACGTTAGTTGTATCATGAGGATTGTGATTGACAGTGGGCCTACCTGGTGAGCCAGCTTCAACAGCTTACCGCCGAAGCTGTTGACGGTTCCGGTGGTCTCGAACGACATCTTGAAAGCAGTGGTTGCGAAATGCGATCGATGGATAAGAGTGAGAGGTTTGATCAAGGCAAGAGGAGCTGAGAATCTAAAGCGCAGCAATGGCATGTGCACGAGAAGAGTTTCTAGAAATCTGAAGGTGGGGAAGAGGTGCAAACTGACGTACCAGGGCCTCCGGAGCTGTTGCGGAGAGACGGAGCTCTACACAGGGCTGAAATTTGGGAAGACTTTCCGTATGCAGTCAAAATATCTCGCTTTGGATCAACAAGCTGTCGAAATGGCTCTGAGCCATGTACGCTTCCGTGTGCCGTGCGATGAGTGCCTGGGGCAACTCGTATGCTATGGTCTTGGAATTCTGGTGGGACCCATGCCCCGCAATCGCGAATATTCCAGCCCAGCCCCTCTGGTCCCAAACGCCGTCGCTATATGTAACATTTTTAAGCTCCACGTGCTCTCCGCTAAAGTGGCAGATCACCGACCATTACTCCGGATGGAATGAGAGAAACTAGTTCCTGGAGCGTAGTTGAAAAGGTTAGCGAAATACCAGAGGCCGTCTTCTCCAGCACGAGGCTCCATGCGACCTTGCCTGATGAACTCCTGATCGAACTTACTACAGCAACTCCTCGCACGTCCAATCCTCGTAATAGCCGTCCGGGAGGTAGCGGCGTACTACCAACGGGATCTTCTTCTCACGCAGCTCCTTGAGGGCGATCTGGAGGGGATCGGTCTCTGACTCCACATCGACGAGTACAGGAGCACCCATACTGTTGTTCGCATGAGTGATTGTCAAGATCCAACACATTCCTGAGTATGGCTCACCTGATCTGCAGCGCTCTTGTCCCCAGAACCCTTGCACGTTCGTACTTGGTCATGTATGGTGTCGTCGTTCTCTTCTCCTGAGCAATCTTCTTGCTCTTCACAGTCTTGACCGCATTGACCAGACCTGCCTCGCCGCTCGTAACAATGTTCCCTTGAGTGCCATCCGTGAAGTCTGTGCTGTTGAGCTCTGGGTTTTGCGCTGCGTTCTCGGGATCCACATCATCTGCCATATGGTTAGGCATACAATCCACCAGCTTTCCTGTGGCTTCAAGGGGAGACCGCAAACGCACCATTGTCGTAGTTTTCCTCAAATTGTGTCTCCTCGATCAAATTGTCATCAAACTCCCTACAAGCGCAAACCGTTAGCATGTCTGAAACGCAAGCGTACGAAGCGAGCGCATCGATATTGCACAGATTGAGACGTACTCCGTCTCGCCCATGTCGCGCATATCATCGTCGCCGCCGCCATAGTCCGACATTGTGAACGATGTAGCGTTGGTCTAGAGATGCGGGTGCTCGGTCGATGTCGACACGCAGAGGGTGTGGATCAGTTTGAATCGGCGAGGAGGACTGTTCAACGTAAGCGACGATCGTTGAGGCCAAACTGAGGTGACAGTAAAGCGGATGCGACGCGATTGTTGGACGCGGGCTGAGAAGATTGTGAACGGAGCGAGCGGCATTCGGCGTTTGACTGAACTCTAAATTTGTCGATATTGGAATTTGGAGCCTCGACTGCTCTTTCTTCTTGCCGCATCTCCACTTACCAACACACACGTCGACAGCCATGGCGMCCTCGAAGGATGCTGAGCCCTTCAAGCGGAAGCGAGCGGCAGAGAATATTCTGCTGAGCTCTGTCAAGAGGGCACGCATTCCTAACGAGGACGACAACACCACCGCGGACGATCAGGCCAACACCAATACCAATGCTACCACGGCCTCGAGTGCAGCGTCACTGGCCGACGACACCGCCTCAGTCACTGCCACTGCATTCACGACCGCCTCGGGTAAGGATAAGCCCAAGAGTGCGCCGCGGAAGAAGCACATTCCATGCACCTACGATGGTTGCGACAAGATGTTCAGCCGCCCTGTCCATCTCCAAAACCACCTAAACTCACACTCCGGCGAGCGACCGCACGCCTGCAGCGAGGAGGGTTGCGATAAAGCATTTCTCAAACGTGAACACCTTGTGCGTCATATCCAGGAAAAGCATGGCGACGAAACCTTTGTCTGCACCTACACTATGCGAAATCACGTCACGGGCGTGCTGGAGCCGTGCAATAAGCAGTTCGCTTCAGCTCAAAAGTACAAGCGACATTTTGCCGTCCACGAGGAGAAGGAGGAAACAACTTGCTCTTGGGAGAATTGCAACATGGTTTTTCGCAAGCAGGAGACGCTCCAGCGTCATATCAAGAAGGATCATCTGCACGAGGATTCGTATATGTGCTCACGTACCACGACAGATGGAGAAGCGTGTGGACAATTCTTCCCGACCCCAGGTCTTCTAAGAAGCCATATTCACCGCGAGCACGAACCGCCAAAACACTACTGCAAGATCTGCACTTGTGCCGCCAATCCGCTGACCGAGCAGGATGTCCTGCCAGTGGTGAAGAACGAACTGGATCCGGAATTCCTGCCTCCTCCAGAAGACACGCTGTCCTATCGCGATGGTCTCGAATCCGGCGTCATGCAGAACCTCAGCCTCAACGATAACCCTATCATGCTGCCCGCGGAGGCCATTGTGAGCTTCCTGACTTACCACGAGCTTCAGCGTCACATGACTCTCGTGCATCCGCCAACTTGTAATGAATGCGGAAAGAAGTGCAAGACCCCCAAGGATCTCGCCGCTCACATCGACATTCACCATACCCCTGATGGCGAGCGTGTTGAGCTTGAGAAGAAATTCGTGTGCCCGCGAGAGGGTTGCCCTCGTGCCGTCCTTGCAAATGGTTTTCATAAGAAGGGAAACATGGCGGCCCATGTGAAGACGGTTCACGACGGGAAGAAGAAGTTCATCTGCGGCGAGTTCGATCTTAGTGGTAATGAAAAGGTCGATCGGTGGAATGGAAAGGGCTGCGGAGCCGGACTTACCACCAAGCACAGTCTCATCAATCACATTCGGACGCAGCATCTGGGAATCCCGATCTCCGAGAAGTCTACGGGCAACATCGTCGCCCGTCCCAAACGTGGCAACCGATCGGCCATGTCCCAGCAGAGCCGAGGAGGAGCTCAAGGCCAAGTTGAGACTGAGGACGAAAGCGAGGATGATGATGAAGTTGACGGAGAGGTTGACTATGACCAAATGGATGTCGATCAGCCCAGCAAGAAGCCAAGCGTTGCCCTCGCGATGTTGACTGGATCTGGATACCACGAGCTGCGACCTATTGCCTGCTTGACCAATGGCTGCCAGGTGAGATTCAATACGGTGTACGAGCTGAGCTTCCACCTGGAGCTCACGCATGGATGGAACGTCGACGACATCAACGAAGCTACCGGGCGCGGAGATGCGGGATTCCTTTCGAGCGAGGAATTGCAGAAGCGAAACTCGGGGGACAACGTGGGCTCTGGGCGCGACGAGACGGAACTTCTCTCGAACAGTGAACTCACCCGACGGGAACTGGAAGCCAGTGGCCCCATCAACCCGCATCTGGCTTGAGGCGCAATGGAAAGGCCAGGACGACTTGCTGACTGTTATTCAAAGAGAAATGGCGAGTGTGGCTTTGTTGATGTTCGAGGCTTTGCGCCCGTTTGTTCAGTTTGATGGCTGCAAGTGCATTGCTTGCCCACGTGCTGCGTGTGGTGATGATTGCCGTCAGTCTGCGTCAAGGATGTCACATTCGGCATCCGATCGCGTCGCTTGCATTGATATTAAGACGAACGGTAAGGACAAAAGCATAGCTGTTGATATGGGTTTCAAAGTAGTAAGTGCCAAGCATGCATGCGCCAATCTATTGACCTCCTGCAACCTCCTGCACGTTCAGTGGCTGCAAGAAACCAAAATTTGCCTATGGTTTCGCAATACGCTTAGCATGAATCGGCCACGCACGATAAGAATACCAGAGAGTAAGAAGTGAATGGGGACTTTACGTTGACAAAGATTGTGCACTCTCGAAGCTGGTAATCAATGCTTCCATTTATCAAAACGTCATTCCCATTTAGCTTGCCAGGCGGCAGAAGTCATCAAGTCTAGACCAGTCATTCTGCACATCATATCTCTYCTCATCTCTGACTTGATTATGCTGGTGACACTCTTGATACGATCTCCAGACCCACCCGACGCAAGATTTTCTTCGTGGTTCTGTCCTAAACAACAACAAAAGCCATTGGCGATGCGTCAAGCCATCTGAGACGCATTCGAGTAGGATGGGTAGACATTCGATCCCGTCATCTGGTCCACACTTGGGCAAACGGAAATACACATCTCCACATCGGGACGACACGATACTACGACGCTGTGGAAGACGTTCCATGGGCTATGATGCATCGCGAAAATCCCATTTTGGGAGGGGAAAACGGGCTAGGCAGATAACGGAGCTTAACATCGTCCAAGGGGATCCGAACTGCGAGGTTTGCTCTATTCGGGAGCAATGGCGCCTCGGAATGGGTTTTCGAGGAGTACTACTACAGGGTCTTGGTGGAATGCCGTTGTTGTACAGCACTTGCGGCTATGGGGTTGGATCGTGACAACGGTAAGAGAATGGCTTCGGGGCGTCTGAGGGCGTTGGAAGTGAAACGAGAAGGCGCCTCTCGCGGGTATCCTGGAGCCTTCACGATTTTTGCGAGACTAAGGTATGGACATGTCCAGCATGGGTCCATGAACGTCTCGGTGGCCATTCACAAACCTAAGGATAGTTCTAAGCCACCGAAGACATCAGCCAAAGTGCCTGCTTGTAATTCATAGCGGTCTCTGGGTTGGGTCCCGTACGATTCCTCCTGGAAATGCGCCGGAGTGAGTCTCCGGACGCTGTTCAGATGCAAAAGCACAGACCCATTGTCAAATACATGACGGTATCACGGGAGGGAAGAGAGTTGCGAGTGGCAGGCAATAGTCGATCACAGCAGGCTGCGAACGTGCGGCACTTTGCTGCCACAGTTTGCTCACCGTTCATGCAGCGTTCTTGCAAAACTGGCGTCGTATTTGACTTTCTGCATCAAGCAAAACAAACCGTCAGACCGCTGTCTTGCACGCATGAAAGTATAGCCAGTAGCGGTATCCTAGCCAGTAGCGGTATCCTGGCTCAAGCAGCAAAGACGAATCGTATGCCGAGTGATGGTCACCTTCGCGCACCAAAGTGAGTGAGCCTTTTGAAGCTGGCATGATGCTCATTGCGCCTCCTCACGGGAAGGATCGAGCAATTATTAATCTAATGATATCTAGTGCCTTGGTCTTCACCAGATCGGCTAGGTTTAGGCGCAACACGCAACAGGGCTTAGAGACACGTGATGTTACCAAAGGTGGGTCCACGCGATGCCAGATCTAAGCGGCGCTAGCGAGTGATTGGCTGCTTGAATTTCTCTCCCTGGAAAATTGTTATCTTGGCTGGAAATTGTGTACGGCCGCGTCAGCAGTGAATGCTCACAAGTGAATTATCACGGATTTATGAATGTGCGGTACTACAGTCCGGAGATTGTTCACGTTACATTGGTGTGGTTTCGGACAGCGAAGAGTAGAAGACATGCTGGCTAGTACTTRGCTGCGATAGCTACATCGGGCAAGACTTCCATTTCAGACGAGATGTGGAGACAAAGGTGGAGTACAATTGTGCACGAACACAGGAATCGATGGTCGGAGCAGAGATAATAATTCCGGCGTGACGCTCCAGGGCATGCGTGATCCTGATCCACACACTGGACCGAAGCCTGATCTTGAGACAAAGGCGGTAACGGCGGTTCGCTGATTGATGATGAGTTGCGGCTGACGGCGGGCTGTGAAATGGTTTGCCTGTTTCGGATGTACCAACGCCGCTCAGCCGCCGATCGTGACAATGCGTGAGATATTATTGTTGATGATACGGGCGTTTGGCTGACATTCCGGCCAGACTTGCTCATTTTCATGCATTGAATCTGGCGTATCTCGCAATCCTCGAGCGAGTTCTCCCAACAACAGCTGAAATGCTCTACTGAGATGCTCCCGGAGGATTTGAGTGAGTGAATACCTCAGCCACTCCACGTRTACGGACCGGGAAGGGCGATCGAAAAGTGCACGGGCGTGGATTCGCAATGAGCGCGACGCTACTCCGTCTGATTCGTGTCGTCCAGATTTTGGGGCTATCTTTATTCATGGCATGTCAGTAGTGCTTATTGGTTGGAGACATGGTGACACGGTGCTGTTGGTCCATTGTGACTGGGCAAAAGCCATAGAAACGCATACAGCGGAGAATATCAGCACATGAAGATGCGGCAGCCCGCAGGTGCGCAAGCAGAGAGAACGTGTGGGGCGTTGGCGATCTCCGATCGCTCGAGCTGGTGAGGGAGACCCGGCGTCGGAACTTGGAACTCCAACGTCTGTGCCATTGCGAATCCGATCCTCGGGTCTCAGCAGCAGTTCTGCTCGACGCCGAGTGGTCCATGCCACGCCCTGGGGCGGACAACGCATGAAAGACAGCATCCACAATCTGGCATGAACAATTTTTTTTTTATTTTCTGGGAGCCTCAGAGGACCCCGAACCCCAAAGGCGTCGTCGATCGCTCTAGGCGCCCGCGGTTCCTGGAGCTAAAGCGGTATCTCTGGCGAGGCTCGAGGCTCTCTTTTGTGATGATAGGTAGGGCACGGAGGGCTACGAGTCGCAAGATGAACACGAAGAAAGAGAAGGGGGATGCGAATGATGAGGTTGTTGATTTCCTGCGGTTTATGCGAATGATCAATGCCTGCCTAGAAGATTAGATGTAGACAAATCAAAAACCTGGACCGCGAAAGAGGAGCAGCAAGTCACAAGGGCTCTGGGACTAGACGTTCCCCGCTTGGAATGCCCGTGACTTCGTCTGTCTCGAGCATTAATGTTTCTGGATCCGACCACCATCGCGCCTACCCACCTTATCCTTTTATTGAAGTTCCGCCCGCCCTGCCCTGCCCTGCACATACCATTCTCTACTGCGTTACTGCTGCCGTTGTATCGCCGCCTCACCCTTGCCCATCRGCATCCCTAGTGGCGTTCAACAACAAAGAGGAAGTCGCGACAATCCACTTTTAATTATATTCTAATCCAGAGGTTCGGCAATTCCATTGTCCAGGCCAGTCAACATTGGCCGACCGACTGACTGACACGACCATCCCGTCAGTACAGACCGACCGCCAACATGTCCACGTCTACATCCCGTCCCATTAGCCAACATCGGCTGTCCGTGAGCGGACCCAACGCCTTGAGCGTGCCCACCCGCAACTCGTTCAGCCGAACACATTCGCACAGCACCACCGCCAACCCACCCAATCGCATCAGCCGCCGGAAGAGCTCAACCTTCTCCAAGTCGGCCCTTGCGTCGCTGCAGGACATGGCCAATCAGTCCAATCCGGGCTCCCTGCCCACCCATCCGCACGCCCAATCCTCCGCCTCGGTCCTGAGCAGCAGTGCCGTGGTCGACGGGCCTTCTCTCTCCTCCYTTCAGGCCGTCGACAAGAAGCTCAAGATGCGTCGTGCCAGCGATGGCATTCATTTGTCGAAAAAGGACAAGGCAGCCTCGGGCGAGCTCAAATGCGAGCACTGCGGCAAGGCTTATAAACATGGATCCTGCTTGACGAAGCATTTGTGGGAACACACTCCCGAGTGGCAGTTGACGTCGAAACTGCTCATCTCGAAACACCAGCAAGTCCAACTTCTCGAAGCTGCATCAGTGCTGGTGGCTATGAACCAAGACGGTCCAAACGACRGCGACAACTCGTCTTCTCCTGCCGCCTCGGGCTCGTCTGATATGCGGGATGAGGAGCTCAGCTCGACCGAGACCACACCGCCTCCACACCTCGACCATTCCTACCGGGATTCCAAGCGGCTCAGCAACGAGAGTAGCCTTTTCTCGCGTTCCTACCAGTCCGTCTTCTCGGAAAGCGGTCCCAATGCCGAGAACGGTTTTGCGCACCATCGCCAGTGGAGCACCTCCAGTGCCAGCCGGCCCGTGACGGCAGAAAGTTTTGGTGGTGACGAGGCAGATCTGGCGGCAGCTGTGGGATTGCTGAGCTGCAGCTATGGTACACCAAAGACCGGTCCCACGGGTCTTTCAGCAGATGTTCCTCCAGTCCCGCCTCTTCCCGCCAAATACCAGAAGACCGCCTACTCGAACCTCCGTAATAATCGGGCTGATGATGTCGATATGGAGGGCGATGAAAGCTTTGACGACGAGCCCCATGGCAGGCATGAGGATGTCGACGATGGGATTTTTGGCAAAATGGACGCATAGTCCGCCTTGCCAGTCCTTTGGATCGTCCATGAGATCTTGCCAAAACATACTTGAGGACTTTCACATTCAGGATTTATATGCATCGACGATTGATTGGCAGCTCCGCAGGCCCGTATCTCAAGCACCGATGAGCTGGTTTGCTGGCATTCAACCAGCTGAGCAGCGAGGTTAAAGTTGAGCGGGTATCTCGCGCGTGGAGCAGCCGGCGGAAGGGTTGTTCGGTTATCATGTTTGAACAGCAGCACAGCGACGGAGGCACAGCACAGCTCAGCTACGCGGGGGCGGACTATGACACCTATTTCTTTACCATTGTAGTCCACCAGGATGGAAGACCCATCTTGAGGGGTTCCGCATGTCCGTAATGCCTGTATGTCAACACGAGCAGAATGCATCAGTTCCTTGCATGTCAACACGAACACGGTGCTTCACTTCCTGTTCTTTCACGTGTTGTCTAAGGCTTTCACCGTCTGCCATCTACGCCTCTCTCATTCCGCCTCATGCCGCTCGAATGAATCACACAAATCACCTTCTAGCTTTGAACTTTCACTTTCTCACCGAACAGAGTTCAATGTTTATACTGACACGATGCTATCTTGACATTTCGTGCCTCCTAAAGAGACCTCTGCAGAGAGGGCACCAATATTGTCGTAATGGACGTTAATCTCAAGGACATCCCATCGACGGCATTCGTCATCGAGGAGCCAAGGCCGATCCATCGCAGAGTCTATACTKTATCGTGCATACCCGCACCAAAAGCCAGGTGCAACGGCGTAATCAAGAAGTCGGTGATCAAACCACCACGGGAATGGTTCAGCCAAAAGGATGACCGCCGCCTCCACCAAACCGAAATCCTCCACCTCCCATCCCGCCTCCGCCTCCACCATTCATCATGTTGAATAGCATTTCCTGTTTTGGTAATTAGTATACCTTTTTCAAATACAATGCTGGAGAAAGAACTTACAGGATCGATCTGGACACCTCCTCCCATACCGCCTCCCATCCCACCAAAGCCGCCACCGCCGAATTGCTCGCCAGGCTCCATTAGGTCGACTCCACTATCGTATCGTTCGCGTCTTTCGGCATCGATCAACGTCTCGTGCGCCTCTTGGATATCCTTAAAGCGGTTCTCTGCATCAGGATCGCCTGGATTCTTATCAGGATGGTGAATGACAGCAAGTTTTCGATAGGCCTTCTTGATCTCCGTTTCGGTCGCGTCCTTTTCCACGCCCAGGATCTTGTAGTAGTCCTTGCGCTTGCTCTTCTTGAGCTCCATCTCGGCGTTCCGTACCTCCTTGGCAATACCAGGCTCGTCTGGTGACTGCTCGGCGATCTTCTTGTACGCCCTTACAGCCTCTTCCCAATCGCCGCTCTCGCCTAGTGCCTTTGCCCGGGTCTTGCGAGCTTTGGTATAGCTTGGGTCGAGCTGAATCGCCTTATCGCAGTCCTCGATCGCAGACTTCCATTGCTTCAATTTCGAGTAGCACATTGCTCTGTTGTTCAAGATCTTCGAGTTCGTGCCCTTGTTGGTAGGATCAATCTCGAGTGCTGATGTGTAGACTTCCACAGCTGGCTGATACCTCCCTGATTTGAAATGCGTGTTTCCTTCCTCCTTTGTCCTGTCGAGCTTCTGCACCACCCGGAGGTACTTGACAGCGTCCTTGTAATCTGGATCGCAGGAAATGGCTTGCCGAAAATGCTGAATCGCCTTCTCGTTCTCTCCCTGTGCATAAAGTGCTCTTCCACGTAATACGAGGGCCTCGGGATCAGCGTTGTTTGCACGCAGTAGCGACATGGCAACATTTTGCGCATCACCAAGACTGTTGACCGTTCCCATTTTCAGATATGCTTCGCCACGAAGAAGTCTCMACTTCCGGGGCGGCTGCACAGTTGACCCGAGACCCTTCTCTGCCTGGTCAATGCCGAAAATCGCCAACGATCCGCTTGTGCTATTCTTCAGGCTCTCTTCAGCCTGTGAAATGTGTTTCTGCATTGTTTCCGCCGGGGCCTTATCCTTGGCAGTTGCAGTGGGCTGTATGCGTTCATAGACGTCCAATGCTTCTCGAGGTCGTCCTAGTGCAGTGTACACCTTGGCTAAGCGGTGCAAGATTTTGGCATTGTCTGGCTCCAACTCATCTGCCAGCTTGCAATCCTCCAAAGCAGCGGGAAAACGATTCGCAGCCATGTTTGCGGCCGCGCGATTGGATAGGTATGTCGACGATTGTGGGTTGGCATCCACAGCTAATTGAAAGCCAAACATCAGCCAGAGTGTACAAATACGATTGGAAAAGAATGAACCAACCCTTGGTGTACTCATCTATTGCCTTGGCATACTGTCCAGCCTTATAGAACTTGTTGCCCGCCGCTTTGAATGCTTCTGCCTCCTCAGGCCGGATCTCAGGCGGCGGAGGTGGACTGCTCTTGGTGCGGTGCGGTGGTGGAGTCGGCCGTTGCTCTTGTTCCTGCTCATTTTCGCCGGCAGATGCCTGCGCCTCAGTCTCGGGTGCAGGCGTGGTCTCCATCTTATCCGCCGACGCACCTATCGGCACGCCGCCATTGATGGAGTCGCGTGGACTCGCGGTGGACGAGGACATGGTGGGGAACTGGCCCGACTGCAGATAAAGATTGAGGGGATGTTCGGGGTCCTCCGCGCCGTGTTTGCTCTTTCGTTTGCCCTCAAAATGGCTGCGACTGCGGCGCTTATCCTTGTCCGGCGATGTGGGAGTAGTTGGAGTGGCCGATTTCTGAATTGGTTTGGAGAAAGGCCACATCGAAGACTCGTTCCACGGGCGAGAACTCAAAATAATTTAGCAGCGAGGCCTCGGGAGGATCGAACCGAGTGGAACTTCAGGGAAGAATGTTGGTCGATGGTCGCGTGCCTTCGCCTCTCACGCTGCAATGGTTGGTGTAGGCGTCGAGATGTTTTGACCACTGCAACAATTTGTGCTTCTCAGTCCACGCAGGCCATTCCGTGAAAGCTCCGGTCGGTTGGTAGGGGTTGTGGTGGAGCATTTGCACATGCACTAGGTATTTCGCTTTCGCTTCATCAAAAAGTGCTTTCGCTTACATCAAGACGTCATTTCATCCCGCTGTTCAGCAAAATCAACGCCTAACAACTCGGAAGTCCAGACAGYACGTTTCCCATCACCTGCTGGTAGAAGTGCCTTTCGGCCATGTGAGGTCGCTCATGCAGTAAGCCCGACAAATGATGAGGCGATGATAAGGTGGTGATGCCGAAGCAGCCCAAAGGGCCTCGAAATCAAAAGGGGAGATTATTATATACAAGATGCCAATGCCAACCTATGCATCTGCACCGGGCTATACTGTATACACATACTGTACATGATTACATGCATCCGTCACGTAATGCAGCCTCTATAAGCCTTTACGCCTTTTGACTCCGCTTTTTCGGGTTTGTCGTCTTGTTTTTTGGCGTGGATGGCTTAGCCTCCTTGCCACCGTCAATGTACTTCACCAGATCATCAATGTTGTCATTTCCCTTTGAAGCTGCCAGAGGCTGCGAGACAGCGGCCGTAGTCTGGCCAATGGGTGGGAGCTGCCTTGTGCCAGGTGTGACTCTCGACGTTCGCGCGCCGTTGCGCAAGATGCTGTTTCGATTTTGCAGTAGCAAGCTCGCCTGCTTGGCTTGCTTTGCCTGGCTCACGGCAGAAGCGGTGAACCTGCTCAACCACAACTCAGCCTCCTTGGTGTTTGCATCGTCCGCTCCAAGCTCGGCAGTGAAAATTCTAGCGCTCTCGCGCATCTTCTCCATTGCAGCCTTGCTGTCGCTCTCCAGCGCGAACGCTTGCGCAAGCTGGAATAATAGCGTTGCCGTGTTTACGGACAGCTTACCGGMCACGTCTTCGCATATTTCCAGGGAAGCCTCAAACCAGAGTCGCGACTCGTGAAACTGCTTCAGTGTCTGGAGCATGACTGCCGCGTTGTTGATGGTCGTAATGGAGTCCGGATGACGAATGCCATAGACGACCTTCCACAGGTCCAAGGCGTGACGGACGTATAGCAAAGCTTGCCGAGTGTTACCATTGGCATGCTCAAACAAACTCAGGTTCAGGTATGCAAGAACAGTCTCGGCATCATCAACGCCCAACGTCCGCTCCGAAACAATGACAGCCTTTTTGGCAAGCTCCACGGCTGCTGACTTCTCATCCAGGCCGTAGTATAACGTTGACAAGGCGTAGTACACGCGAGCCACCTCGGGATGGAGGATGCCGTAGATCTGCTCGTGCAGGCTCAGGCTTTCAAGAAGAAGCTCTTGTCCGAGTTCTCTCTGGCCTTGCTGGATGCTCATGCGACCGGCTTCCAAGGCTTCCTCTGCCAGCACACTGCGCGGCGACGCTTCTTTGACGATAGGTACAACATTGACAATATTCTCAGGGTGGAACGTCGCCAAAGCTGCTACTGGAGACGGTGGCGCAACACCGTTGGTGCCGTTGTCCGCATGTTTCTTCTTGCTCTTGCTCTTCTTGCTACCCTCGTTGCCGTTCTTCTGCGTGCCAAATGACTCGCTGGATTTCTTCTCCTGTAGCGCCGGTGCAGATGCACCCTCAGTCTTGGTATAATCGTACTCCTTGGCTTCAAATTGAAGGCCCATCTTTCTGGAGATCTCACGGAGCATCTGCGGTTGCTTGGACTTCTGCACAAGCTCATCCTGAAGCTCGAACCGGTAGCGCAAGTAAACTTGTCTCTTGATTTCTGAGCCCAATTTTTCAGGATCCATCTTCTCGAAGTCAAAGGACGTGTCGGAATAAAGCGACTTCAAGTCTTCCTCGATCTCCGCTTTCGGCGAAGAGTTGAGGTCAGCCCCAAGTAAGCAGTTGAGCATGTGGGCGACGCAGCTCTGAGCAAAGACTGGCGGAAGAGCTCGCATCTCCTTGTTACAGATGTGCTTGAAGGCTCGGCTGACCATTTCTTGCTGGCAAAGATGTTTCAAGGCCTGCAACCTATGGTTTGATGTGTTCGCTTCACACTGGCGTGCGATCTCGCCGAGGTAGCGAACATTGATGCCTCGTCTATGCATCTCGCGGACGAGGCTCTGGCCGTCCATGGGGAAGCCAACATCACCCTCTTGGAGATCTTTGACCAGTCGTGGAAGCACCTCGGTGCTCAGGTACGTACACACGGTACGCACATCTTCCGCATCTTGCTCCCACTCCGCCTTCTCTTCAGGCTCCTGGGGTCTCTGGCCACTGAAAACATCGGGGTTCAACGAGAAAGAAAACCCGGTGAGATCGACCTGATCTTGTGGCTGTGGCTTGCTCTCTACATCCTCCGTCTTCTTCTCGACATCGCCGTCGACATTCGAGCTCTGCTCTTCCTTCGTGGCGGTCTCGCCAACCTTTTCCTCAGCACTTCCATTCACGTCAGGTTCGCCACTGGAGGATGCCTTGCTGGCGTCTTCAGTCGAGCTCGCACGCTTCTTCGCCAGCTGTTCGTTTATGTAATCCCGCATCTTCGACACGCGATACAGCTCAACGAGCTCTGGCCGTAGGACGGTCATGCGGTGGGGGTATCGGCTCTCTTCAGTCTGGTCATGTTCACGGTGCTTCTCGATCCACGAGATGTCCAATGGGGTCACGCGGTACAGATCAAGGATATACTTGCGGCCGTCGGTACCGAGAAGACCTTTGGTCTCCACGCTTGCCTCGAGGTCGTGTCTGTTGTCCTCCTTGTCCCAGACAGCGTGCTTCTTGACTCGCATCGCTACGCTGAGCTCCTGGAAAGGCTGCACGAAGCCTTCGTGTGTGGCAATGACGTCTTTGCCCTCAACGCCGCCGTAGTCGATCTGGTTCTCGCCGGGTTCCCGCTGCTTGAAGATACCAGGGACAATGCTCTGTCCAACAACACGCTTTCCCAGGTAATCGACGACGACTGTGCCAGGAGTAAAGAGGCCCGTGATGTCCAGCTGATTCACAGCCTTGACACCCTTGACATCTTTTCCAGTCGCCACTCTCGCGGCTTCATCGCCTCCATCGCTTGCAAATGTACCGACGCCATCAGCACCAAAAGAGTAAAATACGTTGTTGTAGACAAAGATCTGAGCATCCCTGCTCTCAGTCGGATTCAGGGGCTGTATTTCTCCTCTCGCCACGAGACAGGCACCACGTACAGCGGCCTCGTTGTACTCAGCGAAGAGCTTACATGTCAGACGCTCGCGAAACACGCGTTCGTGCACCGTCTCTTTTGGCAACTCCCGGGTCGATTGGAACTCCTCATTCCAATCYCGAAGTGTTTCTGCATTGTCAGCGCCACCCAATAGGAAGGTCTCTTGGGTGCGGGTAATGTCAGGCTGGTGTTGCTGCACAGACGCAGGCGACACGATCCAGGGCGCTGCGGGGAGGCAGTTTGATAGCTGGTAAGATGCGAGCGGGTCGCGCTGTCCATTGTATACTTGCAGGCGCTGGAATGAAGCATCGAATGAGGGGGAAAGCTCGCTCAGGAGGTTGACGAGGGAGTGGGCGAATGCAGACTTGGGAGAGCTCCGTGGCGTTGGGTCAAACTTGTTGTTTGTAGACTTGTTGACGTAGAAGCCAGACACGTGCGAAGTGATGGAGTGTTGCTCGCCTTCGTTGGTTGTGACCTGGAGATAGAGCAGATGGCCGCGCATGCGGAGGTGATACGGCGGCGCATTCCATGGCGACAGCGACAGATTCTTAACAGTCTTCGGAGCCGCTTCCCGACGCTTTGCCAGTAGCGTGGTGACGGAGCCAGGCGTGCTGAGATTGTAGTCTACTACCGGGCTGGACTCCTCCTTTCCAGATTGGCTCTCTGGCAACTCCACGCCATCGCACAGGCTTATACCAGCATCGACCCCGACAACTAGATCAGTGCGATTGCCAGCAGCTCCGATCAGCTCGCGAACACGCACAATGTGCATCCGGGCTTGCGCCTCGGTGTATGGATCCTCAACGAGCTGGAATACGGGATCTTCCACGATCCCGGAGATTTCAGAGAGCTCTACAAAGTCATTGACCCGCTTGCCCTGATGCTCGAGGTGGAAGCATGAGTACTGGAAGGTTTGTGGGGTGTCCACGATCGACTGCCGGATGTCCTGCACCTGCTCTTGCGTGGAGACCGTGATTTCCGTCTGGTGCGGTGCACGCGGCAGCTTGATGGTAAGCTGGAACACATTCTCTACTGTTGGCGCAGCCTCTGTATCCTCGCCGTCTGGCTTCTCTGTCTTGTCTGATGCACCATTGGTCAATGCTTCGCTTCCATTGGCATCGGTGGTCGCGTGAGGATCTCCAGATCCGTTCACAGTCGGCTTGGACGACTCTGTAAGTCGCACGAGTCAGATTCGAGATCGATGTAACGCGTGGGAAGCATCGAGAGCCATGGCAATGCACTCAATGGCAAACATACCTTCGTTGGCAGCAGCCATGTCCGATGCAGTCCAGTCAAGTCGAGTCGAATAAGGTCCTTCAAAGCAATACTGGGGTTGAGAACAGACAGGACAATTTTGAGAGAAACCGAGAAATGAAGGAAGGTGAAGAGTACAGGTACTGTTACAATGAAGGGGAGGCCGGATTATTGGTGGATGGTCGAAGTCGAAAACGAGGACGAGTGTAGCCGATGCCGTGAGAAGAAATCAAACTAAACCACCAACCTCGTAAACTTTCTTCTCCGCGAACGCGGCAAGCTTCGAACTTCGAAGCAAGTGATGACATCCGCGACACGCCATTCGACAACAAATTCACACTTACCAACGCAGACAATGGCACATCAACAGGACTTTCACCGCGATGTCGTTACCGAAATGCTGTTGTGGATATTCATGCATGCCGCACTCCTTGCAGCGGGTATCTAAAGTCATAAACTGCATGTCATCCTCCTCGTTGGCCGTGTTACTGAACACGTCGTGCTCCCACCAGCCTATTCTCCAACAGAGCTTTCCACATATTAACCGACTCAGATACACGCTCCTCAATACGCAATCCGAGAATAACTCCGGCGTGAAAGTCCCTGAGCAAGACTCTCGCTAGAACTGTTTTCAGAGCTCGACCCAAGCTCGGCAGTCTTTATCCTCTCACGCAGCGCGCTCATGCCGCGGTTTGCAAAATCTTTGCGGCAGTACTTGCACATTCGGAGTKCACACCAGCTGCAGCTAAAATGCTCTCCTTCATCGTCGATGTGGCAGACCGCGCACTCAACCGGTGCATGTTTATTCCTGCTGAGAAGCATGCGACCGTGGCCACGAAAACATTTCAACTGGTTCATGTTGAGTGGGCRTGAGTATGCAAATCCTGACGACTTGAAGTTGTGGCCATTTCGACGTCCCTCGACTTCTTGAAAACCGGAAGAGGGATGTCTCGAGGATGGCATTGTTGACGAAGGCCTCGACGGAGCATTCAACGCTACCCAGGAGGATGTTGATGTATCCGCTGCCGATTCTGCGCGGCGACGGGAAGTGCTCAGACCGTTGAGGAAGGATGCTGCGGATTGCAGGCTCTTTGCTTCCTGAATTGATGTCAGCGKTATCCTCACTCGTTTTCGGTCAGTCACGGCTCACATTGAATATTTCAAGGCCGCTGCTCTTGCGCCTCGCTTTCGGTATGGTAATTGGCTTCGCAGGCAATTCCGGGGTGTCCATTTTGTCTCTCAAGCCGTACTTGTGTGGACTATCCTCTGGCAAGGGTGATGGGGAAGGCAGAGTGGGAGATARGCCTGCATTATGCAAAGATGGCTTTGACCGCCCGTCGCTTCCGTCATGGCTATAATCATTCGTGCCGTTCCGGTGGTGCTCCATTTGGCGCAAGTCGCGAACGGTCGTAGAGGCGCTCAATGGCCTACGAGCTCTGTCCTGGATCATGGTGGCCGCAGATGCAGAGTGCACATGAGATGCTCTCGAGAAGCAAATGTCGGTGCTTCCTGACCGGTCTAGAAGGGAGCGGGCGCCAGCGGTTGTGGTTTCATTCACATCGTCGTCGTCGACATCGTCATTGAGATCAGGGTCCGACTCCTCCCTAGTATGATTGTTCTGGTTAATCACCGACATGACGCTGGCCATCACTTCACGCGACAAAGGGCTTCGACTGTCGACCCTCTTGAAGACGTTGAACGAGCTTTTGCGCGACACCACCTTAGCGCTGCGGGAATCCGCGTGCGGCAGTCCAACATCCGGAGTTGGACTGCCATCTATGCTCGATGGCTTGTTGCCCATGACGTTCAAGTAAAAGGGCGTAGTCGGTGTTGGTGGGAGCGGCTCGCGCCTGTCAATTGGAACCTGGGTGATGGTGATTTGGGTATCGTTTCTCGTTTCACATATTCTTTGCCTGAGCTCGGCCGTGGTGAGGGCTGTGTGTCCGTTTGACTGCTGAATCTTGATGGATGCTGGTCGATGAAAAGAGCGTAAAGAACGTGGCGAAGGCTCCATGGAAGAAGCAACAATTCGAGGTGAAGGCTCGTGGCTGCTCGCTGGTAGCACTTTCGTGCTGTCGTCAGGCAGGCGCTGCATAGCAGCTGTGGTGTTCGGTGCACCCAATGAGGATGATTTGGGTAGTTCAACAATCTTCGCTACGAACGAGAATTTCTTTCCGCGCAACATTCTGGTCATAATATCTTGTCCAGTCTTGGACAGTGGGCGTGAATGGGCCTGAGCCTCCATGATGGAGGATGGAATGGATGTCTGGAAGAAAAACAGAATCAAGGTTCTCGCGAAGCACGCGGTTAATATACCTACTYTCACTGCGTACATATTCTAGGGGACCTGCCACGATGGCCCAGGTTGCTGCTCCATGGGGGGCCGATGCAAGTTCCACCACCGACGGAGTGTATGCTACATCGCCCAACAGGTGCTTTTGAACGCTTAAACAGCCGGGACCTCTCAATGCTTTACCATGCACTCATCAACCAGCGTATCGCGAGCGATTGATCGGGGTCCAGGTTGATGAAAATCAATCAACCCCAAAACACAAGGTTCACAGGCGACCTCGTGGCGAGTTCAAGCGAGTCCTATGCATGTTGGTGTTAAGATTGCGTTCCCACTTGCGGTCCGTCCCTCTGATGCTTCATCGACGAATAATTTTGCACGCCTGACCACCAAGGGACGATCTTCAAACATCGACGCAATCGTGCCACCTCGGGCTTTTGGCAGGACGGCTGAAATTATGTTCCAGGCGACAATGGAAACTGCACATGCATTGAGAACACTGCAGTGCGTGAGATGCGGTGACATTGGCCTCGCGTTTCACGGCCGATCAAGAGCCGATCTATCCATGACGCCACAACCTGAATTAACGCCATCGCAGTAGTTTAATCTCCTCCACGCGTGGCCGTGGGAGATCTCTCCGGTCACAACGCGACAATGCCATTGATGCGGATCCCGTACACACAGCCTCTTCCACTACCCCAGAGTCTTCCGGCATCAGCTTCGACAGTCGCAGGCGCGGTGGACGCGTTACAGAACTTTCTTGGACGAAATGGTGGCGACACACTCATCCTCAGTGGAGCAGGTATTTCCGTGGCAAGTGGTCTGGCAGATTACCGGGGAGCCAAGGGAACCTATATCCTCAACAAGACTTATCGTCCAATCTACTTCCATGAATTCGCCGCCAGCCATGAGGCGAGAAAACGATATTGGGCCAGGAGCTTCCTTGGCTGGACGACCCTCAACCGTTCAAAACCAAATTCGGCGCATCATGCTGTGCGGCAACTTGGCGAACTAGGAGTGGTCAAAAGCATCGTGACGCAAAATGTGGATTCTTTCCATTCGCAAGCCATGAGCCCGAAGCAGAAAGTGATAGAATTGCATGGGTACCTCCGAGCGACGGTCTGTCTGACCTGCAGAACCGAGTATGATCGTGACGAGTTTCAACGAGATCTGGCTAGAATGAACCCCTCGTGGGAAGCATTCCTGGCAGAAATGATCGAGTCCGGAGCTCTTGGGACGGAAGATCCTGGAGAGCGCCAGAAACGCGGGCTCAAGACGAATCCAGATGGAGATGTGGACGTGCCGGGAGTGGATTATAACACATTTCGCTACCCTCCTTGCCCAAAGTGCCTGGCCGACAAAGACCGGAAAGTCGATGTGGACACCGATGGAGCATGGTCGCAAGGCTCTGAAGCTGGGATTTTGAAGCCCGCTGTCATCATGTTTGGAGAGTCGATTCCGGCCCAAGTCAAACTAGCCGTTGAGTCGGCCATAGATGAGGCGAGCAGCTTGATGGTGCTGGGATCCAGCCTCGCCACGTACTCGGCTTGGCGGCTGGTAAAGAGGGCGAAGGATCAGGGCAAGAGAATTGCCGTGATCAACATGGGAGGCGTACGGGGTGAGGAAGCCTTCTTTGCGGGAGTTCCGAGGAGAACAGATGGGTCGGATGGTGTCAGGTGTAATCTACCGTTAGAACAGAGTTTGCCGGCCCTTGTGGAGCGACTTGAACAAGAACGAGACGGGGGAAAAGTGTTTAGACCTGCGCCTTGGGCGTAGCATCGTTTCATGTTCCCATTGATCTCTTTGCGCTATTCACCAATCAGGTTGCCACCCGATCGTTATCCGTTGCTGTTGGTCCGACGTTCGCCATGAAATCCCTATATTTGAAAACGTCTCCCTTGCCCTTTGATGCGTTGACTCCTTTGGACCCGAAAGCCCGCCGTCCTGCGAACTCCCCAAGAATGCCGTCCACTTCCTTCTCACTCAGCTTGATCATTTCTTCGCCTGGATTTGGAGCAGTGTGTAGCAACGCGTCTCTCAGTACCGAGACATCAATCTGTCCGCTATCGTCAACATCAAAAGCCTCGAATGCCGCGCGAAGCTCCTCCGGTTGTGAAAGATCAGCTAGCGGGCCAGAGAGCGTGTCCAAATATCGTGCAAGATTGAGCTGTCCTGGGCCATTTGGTGGGAAGAATGACCGTAACGCAGCTGGATTATTGTCAAGGCCTAGCTGAGAGAGCATCTCGGCGACGGAGGCAGATGTGATGGCTCCAGAGTTGCTATTGTCCAGCACCTCGAACGATTCGCGCATGCTATGAAGAAGAGACTGGGGAATATGATTGTAGGCTCCTCCGTGACCACCCATGACTACGAGCTGTGGTGGGGCAAATTTTGGCTGCGATAAATGTGTTGCTTGGGTCGTGCGGATAGTCGATGGTATCGTCGTTCGTTGTGGGGTTGGTCGCAAATTGGCGGGACCGGGTGCGGTGAAGGGCGAGTCGAGAGGTTGCTCCTCTGAAGATTTTCGCGCTCCGTTGTGGATTCTTGGAGAATTGCCGAGCTGGATTGTGGGCGTATTTGGCTCGTCTGGTACTGGCGTGGGGCTGGGTTGTCTCCGCGAGATGAATGTGTCTTCTGCTGCCGGGCTTTCCTTCCACGAGGGAGACGCAGGTATACTGACGCCGCTTAGGGGACGACCAAAAGGGCTCGAGGGACGCTCGGAGGAGTTGCTGATTTGGCTGGGCCGTCGTACAAATGGACTTGTCTTTTCGGGGGATAGACTTAGGTTGTTGTTGCTCTGTTTGGTCGGAGACGATGCTGGTGAAGCACTGCTGGTCTGCCGCTTGAACGGCGACGCTCGGATATTCGCCGAAAGGCGATTGGGATTCGTCTGCATCGTTGGTATTGAACGTTGTTCCTTTGATGTTGGCAAGATAATCTACTTCAAAACCGATCCATAAGGCGCGTTGCGCGATGACGGGAACTGGGAAGCGGTTGCCGGCGGTCGCTACGGAAACCGGACGACTCCGAGTGCCCCATGCACCCATCCCCCACGTTTCGGAGCTGCAGGGGTCCGCATGTCCCAGGTTCCTCAAAACTCCAGCATTGGACAGGGAGGTACAGAAAGGTGTTGACGGCACGCAGAGATGGCTACTGCGGGCTTGCGTCCCAATACAAATTCTTTGGGCGGCCGGTCACGGAATCCCTCCTTCACCCACACGCCCACTTCGGCGAATCCATCTTTCCATGGCCACGACAATGCCAATCGCAATGGCATTTCACCGCACCGAAAGGTGTCAAAGGCGCCGTCTAGGACGCTCAAGAGCCAATATCCTTTGGACGGAGAGAAACATGTAGAGTACATTCTTGTAGCCTCCTTCGACATCGATCGCGGCAGCATCATGGAGCATCAGTACCCAGGCCCTGTCGGCGGCGACGAGCACATGTTGGCTGAGTTGATGTTGCCCGATCAAGCGCATGTGCGAAGTCAGGATTGGACAATTTTCTTTTTGCACAAAGACGCTGGGACAGAGGAAGACGAAGATGACGGCAGAAGGAGACGAAGACGCAGACGGCGGAGACAGGAACTGGATGCAGATGCCGACGATGAGGGCGAGGATGAGGCCGACTCCGATGATGAGCAATGGGAAGGAGATGATGACGACTCCTCCGATGATGAGGGAACTCAGGATGGTCCGCCGCTGGTATACGTGCTCAATCTTGTCAACACGAAACAGGACAACACCGTCAAGCGTGGTGCCGTGGTCAAGGCCATGGCAATCTGCACGCGACACTCATTCCTACACATATACAAGCCTCTACTGCTACTGGCCTTGGAGATGTATTTTGCCAACCCACAAGTCGAGACGTTGGCGAGTCTGTACGAAGCTGTAAACAGCATGGATCTCTCCCTCCTCCCACGTCTGAACTTTCTTGAGAAGTCGATTCTGCAGGGCAGTGATGCAAAGGACCTATTTCTTGAAAAGTTCGAGACCATGATCACCCAGCGCATGGCCGAAAGCGCGGAGAAAGATGGAGCTGCAGTCTCCATGGAGCAATCGGGCACTTCCCAGTTCCAGCCAAGGGCGAGATATGGGCTACCACGGGATACACATGAGTTTGAAAGTGTTGTCCACTACGCCAACATACCAGTGCCGGTCAAGATTCCCACAGCAGTGAGCCCGGAGACGGTTGGAGACTTTAGTCTAATCAAGCTGATTACGACTTTTAGTACACCTCACGCGACCTCTCCGGTTCCGTTCAATCCCACACATCCGCATCTGACAACTTCAGGAGCAACAACCCATCCCATCATAGTTTTACTCAATGCACTATTGACGCAAAAGCGGGTCATCTTCCTCGGCCACAATCTTCCCAGCTCTGAAGTTGCAGAAGCCGTATTGGCTGCATGTGCTCTTGCATCGGGAGGCCTTCTCCGTGGCTTCACCAGACACGCGTTTCCCTACACAGATCTAACCAAAATCGACGATCTTCTAAAGGTACCAGGCTTCATCGCTGGGGTAACGAATCCCGCATTCTCTCTCAAAACAGAGTGGTGGGATGTTCTCTGCGATCTGAGCACAGGCAAAGTTCGAATTTCCAACCGCATCGAGCAAGCCCCTCTTACCGAGGGCGTCGCGTTCTTCCATCAGAACACCCACCAGCCAGGCACAATAGCGGCCGKCGGAACGGGCATTGCCTCTTTGGTCAGCGCCGGAGCAAGCTTGTCCGCCGGCTTGGGCGGTAATACTGCTCCAAATGGCAACATGAGCGGCGATGCTACTGGAGATGGTATTTTCATGCAAAGCGTTTTGGCAGGTATCAACGAGCGGCATGGCGAAAATGCAATCAGGAGCAAATTCCGCAGATGGGTTGGAAAGTTCACACGACTTGCGTCTAGCTTCGAGGAAACTGTCTACGGCGCCAGCGCGTTGCACATTCACAATATCGACAGTCCGAAAGTCGGCTTCCCTGCAACGGACTCGCCTGTTACGTCTCCAGGCGGAAGGACAGATTCTGCGCTCCCGCCAGAAGTCACCGGGCATGGTTACGTCTGGCCCACCGCCCAAGCGAAGAATAGCGAATTGGCTGCCAACTCTACAAGAATAGAGGGCTGGCGCAACACTCGAAGTTACTACAATTTCATCCAGGATCTCGCGGCTCTGTACACACATCGTCCTGTCAAACATCTGGATCTGCAGCATCTTCACGATAGACTGGCCAAGTTACGGCTCGGGCAAGATCAAAGTGCAAAGATCTACTTGGCAATATGTGATGCTGTCAGCACAGAGGGCGAGATCAACCAGCTGCTTGCAGTGGTGGCTAACGGCATTTGGGAGAACAAGGCTGCTGGCAGTGGAAGCGGGCAGACTCCGGGCTTGTTGTTCATCGGCATGGGACTCTTTCATCCCAGCCGGGATGTCAGGGAGACGGTCGCGGAGCTTTTGGGACGCATAAAGGAGCATGAGGCTGGAAGACACTTCTGGGCGACTCTCGGTCGGTTTGTTAGGATTGCATGGGAACGAGTCATGAATTCTCGGGTCGACAGGATGGAAAATGGTGGAGCATCGGCTGCTGTTGCGGCTACCACTGGRGCGGTGCGTGAGAGTTGAAAGGAGGGAAGCCGATCCAGGCTATGGCTGTGATGATTGATATGCCTGGCGATGTTATCTAACGACCTACATTTGGATAGACGCCTCGGCCATTTAGACATGCGATTTGCTCAAAGTGATGAATCGAACAGCGTATCAGTTCCTCGACGGTTATTCGCAGCTCACAGTCAGTAATTAGGCTACTGTAGGTAGTCTTGGGAGAGCATAGACTACCTTGCTTCGTTAAGGTAGCTATATATCTAGCTCGCAAATAGGACTTTCAGCCCTAAAAAGCTTAAATACCTCGCGAATAGGTAGTACCTATATGCACGTTCTTTAGCCGTTAACTATATAAATTTGTATTATCCTGCTCTCGATCAACGCATTACCTCCTAGATAGCTTACTCCACTTTTAGACTAATAATCGCACAATTCTCGAAAAGCAGTAGTAGGCACTCGGTGGTCTGTGCGCCAAGACTACATGGCCAGCAAATGAGACTTTGGGAATTTTAGAAGGCTAAGCCCATTCAATATTTGGGTCAAACACCCAATCAACACCAGTACATCGCTTTCCCTTGCGGCCGTCCAACAACAACATCCCATACCATGGCCACCAAGAGACAGGCACCCGACGAGCGAGCCGGTCAGTCTAGTAATGCGACCCATCAGTCCCGGAAACGCTTCAAGCCCAACACTGGCAGTTTTGTACCGCCCGAGAATTTTGGCAAGAAATCATTCAAAAAGGCCCATACCACAAATGCGATCAAATCGAACATCCGATCCCTTCGCAGATTGCTAGAACGTGAACTTCCCGCAGACGTTCGGGTGGAGAAAGAGCGCGCGCTGCAGACTGCGGAACGTGAACTGGCAGCCACGGAAAAGGCAAAAGTTAGGAGTGATTTAATCTCACGGTATCACAAGCCTCGGTTCTTCGAGCGACAAAAAGCGGAGCGGAGGTTGAAGCAGGCACGGAAGGCGTTGAGGGCTTGTGAGGGCGATGAGGCGGAGAGGGAGAAGTTGGGGAAGGAGGTGGATGAATATGAGGTGGACTTGAATTATGCGCTCTTCTTCCCGCTGGATGAGCATTACGTCAGTCTCTATCCGACGAGGAAGCGAAAGGAGGATGGAGAGCCGGCGACATCGGAGGTCGAGGGGAAGAGGCAGGGTGATAAGGCAATGTGGGAGCTGGTGAGAAAATGCATGGCTGAGGGGAAGAACAGGCTTGAGCAATTAAGGGAAGGCAAGTTGACGCAAAACGACGATGCAGAGGAAGTTGATCATGCCGAGACGAAGCCCACCCAAGGAAAAACCAAGCGAGAGAAGACGAATTCGCGTATGGAAGTGCGTGAACAGGAGCAGGCTACGAAGGAGGCAATCGAGGAGAATGATGGTTCCAGCGACGATGACACTGGTGGTGGATTCTTCGAATGATGCTCGACTACAAGCGGGGAAGTTTTCTATCTACATACCCTCCACTCATGCCCTCATTGTCTGCAGCAGGCGAAGATTGATGTCTTCCTTGACCCAACCCTCGATTCGCTCCGCCACATCACCCACCAGCTTCTCATACCTTTCATCGACAAAGAACAAGCCACAATGTGCGCCAACTTCGTCTACATTCTTCATGAAAACACGTAACCAGCATGGATCTCGCTCGCCATTGGAGTCCTTTGGCGGCAAGGTGCAGAACATGCGGTCTTTGGGCGGAGTCTTGTCGTCCTCCTTTTTGCTATTCTGTGGCGCTAGCGAGTTTGTGTCTTCTTCATTCGCGGTATGCATCGTAGAGACCGTCACACTCGAGGGCTCTCTGGTCTCCATGCTTGGTCTTGTGTCTGATTCTGGGGTGTCCTCCCGAGTGGGTGATTTCTCTCCGCGCAGTCTCCGACTTTCCGCCTCCATACGCTTTCTTTCTTGCTCCATCCGCAGCGCCTCGCGTTCGTTGTGCGTCATGTCGGCATCGGACTTTTTTTTGGCTTCGGATTCCTTCCGCTGAGCTATACTAATGGCCTTCTGGTCCTTCCGGGCCTGCTTCTCGGTAGCTTTCTTGTGATCTTCAATCAGCTTGGCACGATTTTTGACTGCTTTCTCGTAATTCTTGACCGCTTTCGCATGTTCCTTCTCGACGAGTTTGCGTGTCCCCTTGTCTGTTATGAAGCTGACGTCTAGCGGTGGCGGGGCCGCGGGTAGAGGTGGCAAAAGACCTTCAAGATCGACGGGCATCGAAGATGCGACGCTAGGCGAGTCTACAGACGAAGACGATGGTACGATCACGTCATGTGCTGAAGCACTAGACATGTTTGTGTCGCCGATGGTGAGAGTCTCCATCGCATCGTCAAAGTCTTCCTCCGGATCTTCAGGCTCTGGTCTTGGGCTAAGGCTCATCATTCCAACGGGAGATGGACTGCGAGCTACTTTCGCGTCACTTGCCCCTGTCCCTTGCTTGCTGTTCCTGCTACTAGAAGTCGAAGGAGACCGCATCTTCGTGTCCAAGCGGGCGTCGTCGACCTCGGACCCACCAGCGCAGTCTTCGCCACTCAGGGCCAGATCTGGAATATCCGTGGAGGGTCGCCTACTCTGCTCCCGATCACCGGCAATGTCGGACGTTTTGCGTGAAGGGGTCGTTGGCTTTTTAGGCCGTCCGGTGCTTGCTGTGTAATAGTTGATAAATCGGACCCTTGGTGGTATTCCACCTTCAACAACAGATTGGCGAATACGCTCATCTTCCTCCTCTAGTGCACGTATCCTAGCATAGCGAGTCTTGAGTTCACTATAGTTAGCCATCGCACCGCCAAACTCGAGATGAGAGGTGACTAGTTTCTTCACTCCGCCTGTGAGATCGTCTGAATGCTTCGTGATGAAGTGCCACGCGCTCTGCCAGCCCTTCCGTACGGGTAGCACAGTGTCGTTTCCGAAATGAGGATTGTAGTTTGGGTCGGTCATCCCGCCTGACCAGAAGGTGTCCGCTCGAGACGGAGCGGCGGCTATTGCTGGTCCGACTCCTCCACCAGGTCCGCCATCGCCGACAGGGACTGGAGATGATGACTCAGGGACGGCATCGCGTGGTTCTTCGGCAGGTGAGAAGAGACTCGCCAGACCACTTTTGACAACACCCGGGTGCATTCCCAGAAATGGGACATCAAAATTGATTGTGCCGAGGATGAGATGATTGAGAGCTCGGCTTGCTTGGTGGCTGGGCGGCATTAGTACAATCTCAGCGCACAGTAGCCCGCCCATGCTGTGGCCCAGCAGCACGACATCGGTCAGAGGGTCTTGATGCGGCTCGATCCAGTCGCTGAAACTATCTCGGGCGACGGTGATGTTCCCTCTGGACCGATAGCGTGGGTATATCTTGGTGTGAACTACATGAGTCTCGGCCAGCAGGACTGCAAGAATGCTGTGGACATGCGCTGGGAAGCTGCGGAAACTCGTTTCATTTCCCATGAAACCGTGAATGTAGACGAGCAACAACTTTCTGCGCTCGCTTTGCTCCCCCACCGCAGGAACCAGAGATTCCTGTGATGTAGAGCGAGGATCGTTACGTGTCAGGCCGGAGCCCTTGGCCGCCATGGTCGTATCGAGCCGGGGGGAAGTCGGGGTCGAAGCAGAGGTGAAGTTGGTGTTGCCGAGACCTAGCAAAGCTTAAAGTTCGAGGAGCGGCGCGGGGATAAACAGCAACGGGTTTCATAAACAAGGGCAGTCATCCTTCTATATTTATATCGCAATATCAGCAGCAGGCAGCGATCCGGGGCCTCTCATTTCCGCAGTGGCTCTTCAGTCGAGCAGACGGTATTCGAGGGACGCAGCGGAGAAACATTGAAAGGAGAACCCAAGGAAGGAGGATCAGGGAGGCGCGAACGTTTGGTCGCATCACATGAAGAGATCCACGGGAGCCTACCACCCTACTGGACTCCTCGCCCGCTGTTCACACCGTCCCCCCGCCGAAGCCCCGATGCCAGCGTCCGACCCGTATTGACTGGTAGTGCACCACACCGCTCTCGCCGTGGAGAGGGTTCGCTCATGTCGTCCGAACGCATACGGCTATCAAAGCCAACACGGCCGCCGTTGACTCCGCGCGTGGCCGGCAGTTCGACGAGTACCCCACAGCTCAGGCCGTCAGCACCTCGTCTTCCTACCGGGAGTGGCGTCGGCGTCCGACCTGGGTCGCCCTTGATATCACCCCGAGTTGCAAGCAGACCGACAGATGAGACACCGAAGGGGCCAGCACTGGGGACGGTCAATGCCAACATCACTCCGCGCTCGGCGAAGCGCAGGTCCCGGGTCGACAGCAGTACCAATTCGCCACTACAGGATGAGTCGCCGGTGGACACACGGGCGAAGAGCGCGGCCACGACCAATCTAGGAGTGCCCGATGCAGCACAAGGACGTGGCAGTGGTGGTAGTGGACTGGGCGTCTCACTTRGATATGGGCAGCACAGGGCTCAGGCACGACTCAGCGCACCGAAGAGCTCCGTGGGCGCGGGCAGCTCACCGTCTCTGGTGCGGTCGCCTGGCTATGCAGACCTCGCTTCACAGCAGGACAGCATTGAGAGTCGCTTCTYCCATGCCAGCGATGCCCCCCGGCAGGAGTATGTGGGGAAGAGGCCAGAGCCTAAGCGGACTCCCGCTTTCTTCTACGCGGATGGCAAGGAGGACACAACCCATGTACCGCCCAAATCACTTTCACCTCTCATGTCAGCCATGTCTGAGAAGGGCTCCTGGCAGCGGCCAGAATCGCAGTCGAATTCGTCAAGAAACCCTCCCATGGCGTCACCAGCCCTGAGTGCGGTTGGCAGCAGTGTGCCTTCATTTTTCCCGGCAGCATCGCAATCACAGCCCATGAGAGCCCCTTCGCCCAGCAAAGAGAATATACATTTGTCCTACAGAAAAGGTGCATCGCAGATCTTCGGCACACGTCCCACACCACGGCAAGCACATCGATCCGCAGATATGCCTCTTTTGGAAGAGGCTAGACGACCAAGCGGAGGAGTGTCTCGCCATCACAAATCTCCCAGTCTATCTTCCATAGATTCAGGGAACTCCCACGCATCACGAAGGCGATCTGCTACTGCAGTCGACACCCAAAGTCCAACCTCACCGTTAACAAATGCGCCGATGGTAGCAAATCATGTTCCTCGACTCGGCAGTCCACCACAAACTATTCCCATCATCGATACCTCTCTCGCCTCTCCTTTATCTCCACCTCTCGATTACGGAGCGCTAAGTCCGACCAAAAATATATCAGAGCTCGCTGCTGACGCCCGGAGAGAGAGGAAGGTTCTTGACCTTGAGATTTCGAACTCCAGCTTGCTGGCTATCAACGCTAGCCTTGAACGTGAGGTTCGAAGACAAAAAATGGAGCTCAAACGATTTCGTCGTCTGTCTCGCGCTGGTCGGTTCTCGATGGCTGCGAGCGAGCCTACCCATGCGAGATCCTCTGGAGGGTCACTCGGCATGCTCGGCGAGGACGAAGACGAGGATGAAGACGACGATCCCTACGCCGCCGCAATGCTTTCTGGACTGATCGATCTGGATGACGAAAGTGATTCGGAAGAAGACGACAGCCTGATGAGCAGCAACAGTGCGCTATCTTCCAATGCCCAGCAAGACCGTTTGGCAAAAGACGAAAAGCGCTTGCGCGTGGATCTAGAAAAGCACAAAGAGCTTTTAGTCAATTCCCAAAACATCAACCAGAGCTTGAAAAGGTGCATGTATGCAACAGAGGCAATGATAGAAGATGGAAGGAAAGCGCTCCAATATCACGTACGAGTGAGCGATGTGAAGCTAGGAGGAAGAATACTCTCTGGTCTGGATGACGATGAGATTGAACTCGAAGATGGTATTGAAGATGATGCCTTTGCAGGTGAGGACGGGGGTGGCGATGGTGATGTTGGAGGCATGAAGGGCTTGCTCGACGTTTGGGCGGGTGTAGGCAGGCTACATCTCGACGGAAGCGAAGCGCCTGGAGATCGAGATTCTGGTATCGAGCTGGAAAAACATTTGTTCTCCGGGAGACCACCTGAGACAGCAGCGCCGGTTCGCCCTGCAGTAACGCAGCAGATATCAAGCCGGCTACCCTGCCTCGATTCCTAGGCGGGACGAACAGGTACAGGCAGTTTGAAAGCGAGCAGTGTCCCACGCTTGAAGCTTCGTTATCGACCGCGAAGTTGTCTGGGTTGAAAAGTCTGCAACGCTCCGGTAACGTCGGAAATAACGTCCTACTCTTGAGTGTTCATCGGTCGGTATCTCGAGGAGGAAATGCATGGGGCGTTGGCTTCAGCGAGAGAAAATTTGCCTCGTTACGAGCCTGGACACGTTCGATGGTTGTGGAGCGAGCGATTCGCTCATTTTGGCGTCATTTTTGTTTGATTGGATGCACTGCTTGAGATACCCCATTTCGTATGTTGTAAGGAACGTGACCGGGACGACGACTGCGATAAGCAAAGAAAGATCACATGTGGCAAGCTCGAATGATAATGCTCGAGATTGAGAGACTTCTCGTTCGACACGGTCATAATAATACACTGTCCACTCTAACTGCTTGAAAAATTCTCGTGATCCCGCCCCTTGCGCAAGTTACTACAGCATTACATCGTTGGATACCAAATGCACAGTGTGCTTTCGAGCACCCTGGCGCTGCTGAGTTGGCATTGGATCAATTCTCGCAAGACAGGACCACAACCGAAGCGGGTTGGTCATCACGCATAAACTTTAATGCGAAAAAGACGCTGGGATCATTCGACCAAGTGCGTTCCGGCGCAAGGAGACTTTGCCGCGTTTCCGACCACTTCGTAACACCATCCACGAACCACTCTCTGGTGAACTGTGGCACACGGTTTCTATCATCTCTCCTTGCGACGGAAGAAAAGTTCCTTTTCTGTCTCCTTGCGTCGGAACATGCACATGATTGCCATGGAACTGATACAACGGCCCTCCAGCATCAGGAATATTTGCATTGTCTTGGCAGCAGCACCCGCTATAGGGTTTCTCGCCGCGAGATTGTGGAGACTGGCATCACAGGAACCGATCCAAACACGGCTATCGATATACAGAGCACCACGGGATTTTGAGGGAGAGTCGAATCTTCCATACCCACCAAATGCCCTCCCCGGTGCTAGAGACATTGAGACACCGTATGGAGTAACTCGGGCGTATGAGTTTGGTCCAGAGRACGGAAGGAAGGTGCTGCTCATTCATGGGATTAGCACTCCCTGCTTGTCAATGGCTTGTTTGGCGAAGGTGTTGTCTGCGAATGGGTGTCGAGTGTGTTGCTACGACTTGCTCGGGAGAGGGCTCTCGGATGCTCCAAATCCTTCCACCCATAGACAAGATTTCGCACTGTTCAGCTCGCAAATCTTTGCAGTCATTACTTCTTCTCCCCTTGATTGGTGTGGAGAGGGCTTCAGCATTGTGGGTTATTCCCTTGGAGGTGGTATAGCAACATGTTTCGCATCGTACTTCCCAAAGCTTGTCCACAGTCTGGTATTGCTCGCACCCGCCGGCGTGATTAGACCCGGGAGGATGACTCGGGCGAGTGAATTCATATACGGCGGCTATCTTCCTGAGGCTGTAGTGGAGCGTCTCGTTACCATGCGTATGAAGTTAACGGGAGGGGAGCCTGCTCTAAGAAGTCCGCCGGCCGCTGACGCTGCTCCCGTCATTGCGAGCACTATCACCAACGAGACTCCAGACCCTGCTACATCGAATGGTGGATGGATAGAGACTTTTGAAGGTGTAAGAATCTGTCCTGACAAGGCAGTGGAATGGCAGCTGGACTTTCATCCCGGATTTATCCCAAGCTTTGTGTCTACTTTGAGGAATGGTCCTATTTATGACAACCACGAAAGGCTTAGAATCATCGGTAGGCGATGCGAAATCTCCTCCGGCAGTCTCGCTGAGAGACAAGTCCTTTTGATTCTGGGAAAGCAAGATACAGTCATTCTGGCAAAAGATACGGTTGAAGACATGAGCAATGCCTTGGGAAAGAACAACATCAAAGTTGTGGAGCTACCAGGTGGACACGATCTTCCGATTGTGAACAGCGTAGGCTGCGCCGACGCGATGTTAGATTTCTGGGGCAGCGCATGATGACGATAGTGATACATGATAAAGGCAAAGCCCAGTAATGATGAAATTATTGGTACTTGCCGCAGTGAGTCTTGACATCTATGCTACAGCATCCTTCGAGATTGTGAGTCTGACGAGTCTCCAGGATCACGGCTAAGCGTGTTAGGAGGATAGCTGCGCTGCGACCATAGTCGGTATTTTCCATGGGCGAAGAGTCTTGCGCTCTCTGGTGACATGGCGTCTGATGTGGATGCTCGGAATCAAGCGTGTCAATCGTCCCGTCTGAATCATCACAAGCAAGTGAGGTACAGTCCAGATCTGCCTGTGTCTAAATCCGCCGCAACCTAGGCCTATCTTCTCGATGCCGTTGAGGTTGTACCAACAAGGAGAATATTGCTAGGACCAATTGAGGAATGAATTAATAATGGTATGGTGATCAGTGGGTAGAGAAATAGAAGCGAACGATCCGGGGAACATCCATTGGTTGACCAGTCAGCTAAATGAATAAACGAATGGTCGAAGAAATCTATGAAGGCATGGATGACGGAAACGATTCCAACACGAACGAGATCATGGATAATGTCTTTCGGGACGCTGATGACAGGTCCCTCGTTCCCATGCTGATGAAGCCCATTGAGGGCACGAAAAACAACGTCTTAGGCGTGGAACCACAGTCGAATGCTCTCCATTTTGACTCGTATGAAGGCTCTACTCAGCGACTATTGATTGTCAAAGAGCGCTGCTTCGATCAACAGCCGTTGACATCGGTTGCGATATGACCTAGCGATGCAGTTCAACGGGGAGGCCTTCCGTTGTGGAAAGCGGGTGTTTACGATACATGTTTCACAACATGTGGTATGCATGAGGTATACATGCTCGACATGGCTAGGGCAGATCCCCGAATCAAGTTGATTGGATTCTCGACTCTCTGGCCTGACAACGATTCAGCGGGTATCATCTTTGCCAATGCCAGAACGAGCTCTCATGGGTAGAAAATAATTCTCAAACAGCCATGTAAGTCAGACGCAAGTACACTTGCAGGTTCACAAGGGCGGGGGGGGGGCCTCGGGGCTTGCGCGAAGCACTTGGGCCATGTCGAACACAGAAACTGGGGCCGAATGCTGACTTGACTTGACCTGAACTTTATCTGACCCTTCGCTTCACAGAGTTGAAGCGATGGATCATGGCTGAATGCTGATAGTCGAGCAACGGCGAACGAGACCCAGAAGAACGCTCGTGCATAGAGCGGCAGATCTTGGCGACGCGAAGGGCAACACTTGACCGACCCCAGCAAAGCTCGAATAACGCGCGAAAGGAGGCACGGAGACGCGCTTGACACGCTCGAGGTGATTTGCGCAGATGTCTGCACGTGAATTATGAGCGCATATTCGAGGCAATGGCGTAACTTCTGGTGGCCCGGTGTATATCAGGCCAAGGATATGTCTGTGCAAACAGAGTTCCGCCACAGGAGGATCTCAAGCAGCTGTTGCATCCGAATGGACAGCAACACGATGCGAAACGCGCGCGTGAACGCGACATTGTGCTGTTACTTCAGTAGTGTCGAACGTTTCCCAGCCTCTCCATGCATTGGAGTTGATGGCGAGATTTGGAGACTCCCGGCCCAAGAGAGAACCCAGATAATGCTACCCAAATTGCAAGCGGAGACCATAGATGTTCCCTCAGTGTTCGTGGCCGAGATCTTATGGATTCCACCTCACGAATGGTTCCGCGTTCATGTTTTTTTGATGTTTCAGACCAAGCGTGTGACTGCTCGAAGGGTCACCGGCACCCTGCGAAAGTGCCGAGTGCATCTGTCACAGGTTTGTCAACGAGTTGCGGCATTGCCACGAACGGTCTAGGCCACCTATACCCAATCTGCCCATCCACAGTCGCAATCAGATACAGCACGGCAGAGCCGCATTAGTAGAGCTTTGAAAAGACATCAATGCGGCCCTAAAGCCTTCGCCACGTCCCAAATCAGCCACGCCGGTGGCAGGTGGCAGGCAACCTGCAGACGCAGAAAGCAAGTTCTCTACACGTGCCTCTACTACAACCTTGGAAGACTGTATTTGCCAACTTCGGCTAGTTCTCAGGTATGCGCTGTTGGTGCCGATCAACAGCATCTGTCCTGTCGCTTCTAAGATAGAGTTGCGGAGCGAGCGAGCGAATCTGACTCGGCCGGTGAAGGTCGTCTCCAAACCAACTGGGGAACATCAAAGGTTGCCATTTCGGTTGCCGTTGTATATATCCAGTGCGACCATCGGTGTCTACCCAGGTAGCGGAGAAGTGGAACCACAAACGTGAGGTTAGGGAGACGAAACGCCATGTCCGAGCCCAAGCAAGGCGAGCAGCGGGCTGCGCATCATTATTATTGTATATGCAACGGCTGGAGACTACTCCGTAGTCGGCGAGTAAATCATCCACATGCATGCAACTAATGCAGCGGCGCGCATGGGTGTCTTCTCGGCCATACGTCAAAAGTCCCGAGAGCAACACGCGACATCTCGCAAGCCTCACGTGCGTAAATGAGGTGTTTCTATCTAAGGTATGTATCGGGAATGAACAGCGAGGTGGATTTCGTCCAATATTGCTGTGTCATCGGATCCGGAATCGAGGCAATCGCCGCGATGAGGTCTTGGGTCGTTGCCATGGATCTAACAAAAAATCATTTCGCACAGCACATTACATGCGGCTGGGTCGGCGGAAACAAGCGGACGTTTAGTAATTCTTTCGAAGTTGCACCGGTGTATTATAGGCACGGAAACGGTGTGACGGGCGCTATCTGCAGTGCGCAGTGCAGGGACGGTGACCAAGAAGAAAGGGTGGAGCGCAGCAGGAGGAGCAAACAATTGTACGACGGAGAGATGAGCTGCTCGCGGGTGTCGAGCAGTAGTGGCGTGCAGCAGCCTGCAGCAAATGGACGTGTCTGGCCGCGTTCTGCGGACAATGGCCACACGAAACGGCGTTTTGAATACGACCGGTCATCAATGGCTGGGCGTGCAAATGAAGAAATGCAAGTMTGCGTCAGTGTGGAGTCTGTTGCACGCTGCCTCATGTGTTGGTGCAGAGAAACGCGTCGTCGAGGCGTCTCAGCCTGCACGCGGCGGCTGTGGTGTCCGCGAGTAGCATCAAGTCGGGTCATTGGGTAGCCTCGCCCAGCGTGGTAGCGAAGAGCAGATGCAGTGCGGCTGCTGGAAATGGCGAAGCCAAGTGAGGATTGGCCGGTGGCTCCGCTCGGAGGCTAGCTTTTTGAGTGTGAGGTCGTTGCATAGCGCAGGGCGATTGGCTGTCGTGATTCGACCGTCCAACGACGACGGTGGACGGGCAGAGTGGAGCCATGACGGCCAGCCGGCTTGGGTGGTGAAAGATTGCGGCCAACAGCTTAATGAGATTATTATTGAGGATGAGGGTGAGCGGGCAGTCGGTGCTGTCTCACTCTCACGCAAAGGGGCGCGGGACTATCGCTGGCAATCATTGAATCAATTAAGCAGGGCCCTGGGAGATTTCACGCCGGCTAATCAGCCACGGCTCAGCTCAGCTGGGAGGGCTTGGGCGGATGAACAGGCCCTGGCCAGCAGCCTTTGGTTACGAGGATAGCGGTTGTGCTAGTTGCCGCAGTGCATGAATATCCCCACTTAAACCATTCGCAGGGATCCTGGGAGAGACCGAGCCAAAGTGCAGGATGTGGTGAACCTAAATTGGTTAAGTTTCTTGGATTTGGGGGGTTACTGTTTCGTCTGTCGTCCTTTCAAGTCTCCTTCTTCCGCCCGTCTTTGATGGAGTCGTGATTAAACGACGAGCAGCATCTGCCAGGGTTTTCTCCGGCTTTGTCTCGCTCCACTCCTGCACGGCCTGCCTCCTTGCCGTCTCGCCAAACGGGATCACGACGAGCAAAGTCTTCAGTCTTTCGACAAGACTAGCACCGTCAGCATCGACATCCTCACCTCCCCGACCCTCTTCACGTCGACCTCTCCTCTTCGTTGACCGTAGAGCCCCCCGACGTCTCCTCCGCCCTCCGCTCCGTACATCACCTCCGTTGCCGACCCTCGCCATCCTCAGCGTCTCCATCGGACCTCAAGCCATCAGGTCTCGTGCCCGTCCTCCGACTACTTGATTTGATTCGAGCGACAGCAAGGTAAGATAAGAAGAAAATGTTCTGTTAGTGCGTTGTCCAGAGAGAAACGGAGCCCTCAATGAGCATGCCGGGCAAGATGTCGTTGCTGTGCTGGCTTCTGCGTGCCTTCCTCATCTACACCTTCAGGGCCTAGGCCCTCCCTCTCAGGAACCGAAATATAGTCAAGGCCAATCTCTGGAATGGATCGGGCACCCTCTGCTGAATTGAATGGCACACGATATCTCTAAGGTAGCAGACCGCGGACGATGCTGGACATCATCCCGACTGCCCTCAGGGCCACATCATCTCCTGACAGGCTCCTTTCATCTTCGCCCTCGAGCAAATGGGCTTTGGCAAGCGAGCATTGCACAACCATCGGGCGGGAGCTTCAGGAAATACTTCGGCTGCATTACCCACATCCCAGGAGAGGTAATCTTCATTGCAATGCTCGCTACACTGCGTAGAGCCTAGGACACGAAGAGTAGAACCGGCTCGACTCTTCATCGTCATTGACGCGAAGCCCATGCTGGATTGTCCGTGTCTCATTCCTTGGCTTTGAGGCATTTGAATTCCCTAGCCAATTCCAATGGATAGGACGAACCCCATCCACCGACCAAGACGCCGCTCTACTCGCCTGTGTGTGCTCATCTTCCATTGGTGGTGGCATCAGCATTCTGGAAGTCCTCATTGCATTTATATCACATCGAGGAGGCTTACTCAAATGATCGTCTGCTGACTTTTTACGTTTAACAGCCTTTGTCAATTATCAGACAGACACTGTACAGTTCGATCCCCATCGACCGACATCACACTCGTCTCTCCCGTCGCAGAGCTTACGCCTGGATCTTTCAGGTATGTGGTGTCGTGAACTGTGCTAAGGGCCATCTCCCTTGCCTGGTTGTACATTGCTGGCCAAAGTGGGAAAGGCTAAACATTCCCCAGATTTCTTACGGCTGCCAGATCCAAACCACCCAAACAGGCACTCACCAGCAGTAGTGGAGGCGTTAGCTCGTTCTCTGCATCCTGTCAAGGTGCACATTGGCGACCGAAGACGAACTACCGGATCACTTCGCCTATCGGCTTCTTCGCCGTGGCTTGCAAGGAGACGGTCCATTCGCACGTTCTTACCCACGACTGCTCAAGTAGTGGTCTCTAATCTAATTCCCAAGGTATGCAGTCTCCTTTGGCAGCTCCCCAACACTACACGCTATCATACTAATACAATACAGGCACTCCCTGGCTATTGTCTATAATTTGAAGGATTTTTGAAGACTTGATTCTGCTCACACCAACACCAACTAATTACGATCCTTACGCGCCCACACATTCGGGACCACACTCTTTAATCAAGTTCTTCAACCGGGTCATCACTCTTTCCCGACAGGCATCAGACTGCTGTACCCTGTCGATCCTGGAGCATTGACACCCCGGCGTCCCTGGACATCGCCACACCATGGCCTATCAACCTCAAGTACAGCAGCTTCCGCTGCAAGTCCCAAGGACCTTCCCTGCATTCGGCTACTGTGACTCTTACTTTGTTGAGAGTCACGATGATGACGACGGCATGTATGCGCGCGCGGCGGCAGAGCGTGAACGAGCTCGCAACGTGGCCAAGCTCAGGCAGAAGACCATTGGCGAGGAGCTCTCTCGTGCTACAGCTGAGGAGTATCAAGAAGACGTGTTGGATCATATGGAGCATATGGAGGCCGAGACAATGCCCGACATTCAGTCCATCGAGATCCAGACTGAGATTCAGTGGTTCATGAGACCTTACCTTCTGGATTTCTTGCTCGAAGCGCATCACGCCTTTCAGCTCCTTCCTGAGACTTTGCACCTCGCAGTCAACCTTCTAGACCGCTACTGCTCGCGCAGAGTAGTCTACAAGCGTCACTATCAACTTGTGGGCTGTGCTGCGTTGCTAATCGCCGCCAAGTACGGCGACCGCAAAGAGCGCGTGCCAACGATTCGGGAACTGAAGTCGATGTGCTGCTCGCTTTATGACGACGACATGTTCACTCAGATGGAGTGGCACGTCCTGCAGACCCTCAACTGGGTGGTCGGCCACCCGACCGTCACCGGCTTCCTGCAGCTTGCTCTGACCGAAGTCTCCTTTGACCCCGAGCTTGAGCACATGTCATGGTACATATCCGAGCTGGCACTATACCACAAGGAATTCATTCCCGTGCGACCGTCTGTCATGGCACGGTCTTGCTTGGCACTAGCACGTTGCATATTGGCTCGCCAGCAGTCTCGATACGAAGATTGGTCCGCACGCTACGATGCCCAAGTGGTGTTGAATCTCTCCAACCGTCTTGGCCACCCGTCTCAGGCGCTCTTGAGGAAATACGCCTCACCTCACCTCTCGTCGGCATCAACAACCATTGACTTGTTCCTCCAGCACCAGGCCATGTTGGCGAAACGTGCGGTACAACAGCCGATGAATGATTCATCCCAGATGGACGTGGACCCGCCTGCAAACACATATCTCGTACCACAGACTCCACAGAAGGCCGGATTTGCAACCGGTGCTCCTGGCATGCTCACGCCGCCCATAACTCCAGACGGCAACTTGGTTTACGCGAACCCGGCCATGCAGCCCCGGATAGCCCATTGCTCTCCCACGCCACCCTCCAGCGGAGAACATGTTCAGCACAACAGCTTTGCGTCGGGCCCGCAACACTATATGCCGCAGCCGACCTTTGTAAATTAGCAGACAGGCTTTCGGTACGTCGGCCAACCACATCCTGGCCAGTCATCTGGCTGGCCAAACTCAGTGACGCTCTCCGCTACGGCGGCTTGTTGTATCAACAGTGTACGAGCGCCTTTGCATATTTTGCATTCGAAGCGAGCGGTTGCATCTTTGTTTGAAGAAATTTCCTTGTGTATTACATCGGTCGATCCCATAAAATTTGGGTGGTCGACATCTGTGTGGGAGGGAGCATTTGCAAGATGAGTGGAGGAAGGAAAAAAGCGACCTTGCATACTTAACTTGGTTGAAATCAGATTGAAGGAATGAGAGAGGGGAACGACAAAGACCATCGTGGAATCAACGATGGCACTCAGGTTTTTTTTTTTTTTGGCTCGAGAACATACCCAGACATAGCTGTACTTAACGTTCTTGTCAACCACGCATCTCACATCATCTGCTTCGACTGGCTTGTACGAACCGTGTTGACGGGACTTTACATATATACCCGTTGGTCTGTACTTGCCAGTCATCTTCGGACAATTCAAATCCAGACGGTGTCAGCTGGTGGCACGTCACTATCTGGTGATTGGCGAAGGTATGTCACTTTTGTTCCATTGAGGTTCTCGTTGCCGAGATGAGCCACTGAATACCGAGGAATTGCAGATGCYCTTGTTGTTCTCGGCTTGGTGTCAAGTGCATTGTGCAAAGGTGGAGGTCAGTCATCTCGACCACTGCCAGTATGGCGAAGAGTTCCAATGGATCGATTCACACTACATCAACCCTAACCCTGTCACTGGAACACCAGCTCGGAACGTTCAATTCTATTAGAGGTAATAGCATCGCTTGGCTATCACACCGTCGGAAGCGCGGTCTGTACTCAATTAGGTACTTGTGCCACAACATCATTGATTCCTGGTCAATTCTTCATCACCGCCTCACCTCATATGACATGAGGTGCTGCAAGAGTCCTTATCGATTGTCGGCCCGAAGTCCGACGGGAGATCTGCAGATTTCGACCTTGAAGATTTTCAAATACAGAATCGTCGTCTCATACCGCTTTCGCAAACCCACGCGGAGGATGGGAGATCCTGCAACAGAATAGCAGGCCGACCACGATGGACGTCCACCGCTCTCGCTTCGTGCCCTACCCGACATACAGTATCAGTGCCGTTGCATTCTCGCGAAGCAGCGACGATGTCATCCCAGATGGGCTTCCGCAGCCGGCATTGAAACTCGCAATTGGACGAGCCAACGGCGATATCGAGCTCTGGAATCCGCAACACGGGAACTGGGTGCAGGAGGCAATATTTCCGGGTGACAACGCCAGTATTGACGGGCTGCTCTGGACACGCGAGGCAGACGAGAAAGATATTGAGGGACGGCCTGTGTTGGGCCAACATCGCCTTTTCAGCATCGCCACATCCCCCACTGTCACCGAGTGGGATCTTGCTCTAGGCATTCCAAAGAGAAAGTCGACTGGAAACTTCAGCCAGGTCTGGTGCTTTGCAGCCCAACCTCCGCGCCACAGCAGCGGTACGGCCGAGGCGGACTCGCAAGATCTCGTCGCTGGATGCATAGATGGCGCCATTGTTCTCCTCTCGACAGCCGACAATGACCTTCAATTCAAGCGCTTCCTCGCGCGCATCAGTGGTAAGAATGCCAAGTGCGTCAGCATCACATACCAGACGAGGGATCGCGTTTTGGCAGGTTTTGCGGATAGCACAATCCGTGTGCTGGACGTTCGCAACGGTACAACCATTCGCACAATGAGTTTAGGCAGCTCGATTCCTGGATCACCGAAGAATAAGCTTGTGTGGCAAGTGAAGTGCCTGTCCAATGGAGATATTGTGTCTGGAGACTCGACAGGAGACGTGGTATTCTGGGATGGAAAGTCTTACTCGATGATTCAGCGTCTCAGCGTCGACGAGTCGGATTGTCTAGACTTGGTGGTGAGTGCAGATGGAAAGTCTGTCTTCAAGGGCAGTCTTGATGGTAAAATCACCATCTTCCAACACACCACAAACACAAATGGCCGCCAGACATGGACGAAGACACAGCACAGGAAGATTCACCAAGGCGAGGTCAAAACCATGTCTGCGTACGACAGCAAGGGCATGAGTGTGATAGTGACAGGAGGTAGCGATCTGGCATCTGTCGTTACGCCTCTGCGCGAGTTTGGCAAAGAGAATGGCAGGTCTCTGGTCAGCCTCCCGCAGCGGTCACCAGTGGCTAGTGCTCGGCATGCGAGGCTTCTCATCAGCTGGTGGCAACAGAGCGTTAGCATCTGGCGTATCGCTCGGGGCACCTCGAATGATACTTCTGCTGAGCCACAGCCGCCCCGGAAATTGGTGGCCAAGATTGAGCTCACCGCGAAAGACTACATTCGGAGTGCCGCCATATCTGACGATGGCAGAGTTGTTGCAGTGTGCACAAGCACTCATGTGAAGGTCTTTCAATTGAAGAAACGGACAGACGCGGATGGACTGGCCGTGCGCAGGGTGGAAGTGCCCAGGTCACTGGCTGAAGCAGGCGCACGACTACTGGAGTTCTCACCGGATGGTAAATGGCTCGCAGCGGTTCTCCCTGACAATGAAGTCCATGTGGTACGGCTCATCGCAGATGCATCAAAGCCGAAGCAGCTCCGCATTTTGAACAAGGTGGTAGAGCTTGATCGAGATGTTCGGCAGTCTACTATACCGACGGCTTTCCAGCAGTATGAGCGAACCGTATCCCGCCYGGCATTTTCTCCTGACAGCTCTGTACTCGTTGCTGCCGATTTGTCCGGGTACTTGGACTCATGGGTGCTGGAAGGACACGAAGATCCCACGGCGCCTGCAATCGATGTTGTAAAAGATGAGCCCAAGGACAAGGAAAACGACGATACCTCTGATTCTGACAGCTCAGATGACGACGACGAAGAGTACATCTTGTTTGGTCAACACTGGACGGACAACCCCGCAGGCCATCTTCTACCGAGACTCGACTCTGCACCTCTGGTACTGTCATTCCGGCCTACCCCTAAGAATGTGCACGGAGACGATCTTGTGAACGGTAACCCTGGCGTACATGCCACCCGTCACAATCCACACGCGCATTCTCACGAGATCCCCAAGGGTCCTCATCGGTTGTGGGTCATGACATCTCGACATCAAATGTACGAGTTTGACGTCCTTGCTGGCAGACTGAGCGATTGGAGCCGACGGAACCCAACCTCAGTGCTGCCCGACGAATTCTGTAAACTGACCGATCGGGTGATTGGTGCGGTGTGGGACGTGAAGCACAACGCAGCGAGACTATGGCTTTATGGAAGTAGCTGGCTGTTCATGTTGAACGTTGATACGGATCTTCAAGGCAAGCCGTCGAAGAAGCAGCGACGCCAAAGCGAGTCGATGCCACCTCAGGCCTCAAAGAAATTGAAATCCAACAGCGGTGCCGGCAACAAGATGCCTGTGCACCACCGCACGGGCCTGCCGGAGACTGTTCGGCGGTACGAGGATGGTGCATGGAAGAATGTACCCCTCGACAGGATAACCAGGCCCGAAGACGAAATGGACTTGGACGATAACGACGACGATGGCGACGCACGCCGGTTGACGCGCGTTGCAAGCACAGAGGAGCAGCAGCTGACCAAGAACGAGTCACGAGCAACGCCAGAGCGGCCTTGGTGGTTCACATTGCAATATCGATCGATACTTGGCGTGGTGCCCCTGGCAAATGACAGGTCAGCCGAGGATCATGAGAGACCTCTGGAAGTTGTGCTGGTGGAGCGACCATTGTGGGACGCACGAGAAGGGAAGAGATAGAGCAATGCACGAATCGTCATCGATTGTAATATACTGCAAAAGCCGTTTGATCATGGTATCATCAATTGTGCCTAAACCAGTCCCAAGAACTCCGTCGCAATGCGATCTTTCCTTACAAGATATGCCCGCCCAATATAGCTCGTCCATTCATAGCTTTTCAAGAGTGACGGTATGGCTCCAAGCCGACAGTCTGGTGTTGCGCGGGCCTACCATATCCAGTTGGCTGCGCATAGTCGTTTAATGGCACCTGATCCTCGTGGCCGCCGACATATGGGCTCGCAACGCGCTGGTACCCATTTCCAGTCTTTTCGACCTGAACTCCCCGACCTCGCCCAAAGTCTTGATATCCTTGTCCCTTTGGTTCGGCATTCCATAGGCCTCCCTTGTTCGATTTGTGGTGAGGGTTCGATCGGCCTGAGCAGCAACAGACGCTCGCGAGCCAGAAAATCAATGCCGCGAAGCTGAAGGCTACTGCCAACCAGCAAACGACAAGAGTATCGCGAGTGGTGGATAGGGAGATTTTGTAGTCGTCAAGGACTTTATTCAAAGCCGTCACGAGGACCGAGAAGAGAATCGTGCTGGTCAAGACCGAGCAGAATGTGAATATGGCGGAGACCTGAAATTGTTAGAATCATCCATGTCTTTTAAACCCGTCTTGGGAGGGAGGAATTTACCAAAGCTACGATCCACGTAAGGAGACTTCCCCAGCGAGAGCAGATTGCTAAAAGGCCTACGGCGATCGTTGCAAGCGTTGTCCAAAAGGAGACCTGAGTCGCACCATCAGCATTTGTTCATACCCTTCATCAATACCGAACACCGTCTCGCAGTATTACGCACCTGATAGCCGATGAACATCCATTTGGCCTAGGAAGAAGGTTAGCTAGGTGTCGTAACAATCTTGCGGTAGGCAAAGGTGCTTGTACGCTTCAAAGTACGTTTTGGAACTTCTCTGCATGTCCTCTGCACGTCAGTACTTACAACTTTCCTATACGCCTCCAACGCCTTCTTCCCGCTCGAACCCAGCAGCTCATCCTCATACTGCGACAAATTGTTCTTCACCGAGTTGATTGTCGATTCCACGGCATTGTCCCCCGTCGCAGTMTTAGTTGCCGTGGAGTTTGCGATGCTAATACCCCAGACGTCAAGAGGGTCAAACACAAAGTTGGACTTTCTCTTCGAACAGAAGTCAATGTCTCCATCGCTGCTGCTGTTGGACGAGCAATAGTTCCACAAGTGAATCTGGTATACGTCCGCCAAATGTCCACTATCCTTGGCTTGCTGTATCGCTGTTGCCAGCTCGGAGCTGCTTCCTGAGGGGATCGTGATATTCGTAAGGTCCGCCGTGAAGAAATTGAAGCCGTTCAGGGTATCATTGCCTTTGCTGTATCCACCGAGTTCAACCAGTAATAAACAGATGAAAGACGCGAGTGTCAGGAGCATAGGGGTGAGAATGCATGCTGCGCGTCCGGCTTTGCCCATCGTCGCGGTTTCGTAAATTCGATGGTTTTGTTGTTGAACGAATGTGGTGGTGATGGAGGATGGAAGGGGGAGGAGAGACGAAATAATAATTCAGCGTCAGCAAACGTGGCAGGCCATATAGTCGTGCAGAGCGACTTTCTGCCGATCATCGTGTACAACGAAACTTGAAGGCTGAGCATCATGCAGGGTGGCGCAATGAAACTAAAAAGAGGGCACCCCTGTCACTACCTGTGACGGCATGGCAGAATATGTAGAAATCTTTGCCTTTAACAACCTCGCTTGCTGCGATATTGTGTCCCGTAGTGCTGCTTTAACACGCGTTGTGTTCGACGCATCAGAAGATACAAATTTGTGTTGCTCGCTGTGTCCGCCGTCGAGAATTTGTGCAGTGTCCAAAACACATGTACACCAAAATACAAGGGGGCTGAAACCGCGCCTCGCCATACATCAWCACGTTGATTTGTCTTTGCGCGGCTGCTTTCGCGGTCATTGCTTGGATGATAGAAACAGCCCGTTCTCAGGCTGAGTCGTCGAACCATCGAACAAACTTGTTCAAAGACACGCGCTCAAGCAAATTCAAGACACGTTCAAACACCATTGTTTAGCCGTTCATGGTCAACCTTGGCAATGCACAGTGTTGCGCGTTTCTGTTCCAAAGATAGAACAGGGCTGGGAATGCGTGGCTTGGCCCCGCCCCCACGTGTCAGCCTCGCTAGCTGCGAATCATAGAAGATCGATCAATCAATCTGTAGACTGCAATCTGCAAACGAGAAGCGAAGTGAGAGGGCATCGTAGACTGTTACTCTTTTGCAACTATTTCGTTCCAGCCAGTAAGACTGGATTCATACTAGATTCATCGTTGCTTCCTTCCGGCTAACCAGCCTCCCTCCCTCCATTTCACGCAGCTCGCTGCACGACCCCAACGCCGTTGCTTTAGACAATAGTGAAACTCCTCTCGCCAATGCAGCTCACATGACCAGCTGAGCCGAAGACGTAATCCATAGTTCCCGTAAATGCATGCTCGTGGCCTCCTCCAAAATTCATCGAGCGGCGCTCCAAACTCCATGCATGCTGAATAAACAAACGAAAGAAACCCGGCGGTAGTAGCAAAGATCGTATACGAGAGAAGAAGTGGTTGTTGTAGAAATCCGGTCAAGACCGGTAATAGATTGCATCGAAATGTGATGTGGACAGTTTGCAGTCGATGGCGTTATTGCTGACGTTGGTCCCGATCCGGTGGTAGCTGACTGCTGGGGTTCGGGCGGCGAATGTTTCTCAGGCGAGCTCGCTCCTGCTGTTGCTCAGCAGCCTTCTGTGCGTCGGGATCAGTGCGCGGCGCCCTGTCGCCTTTGGTGCTGTCTGCCGCGCCTGGAACGATCCTGCTAACGCTGTATGCGATAGCTTCGATAATGAGTGAACGAAGGTACTCCTCCTCTTGCATGTCTTCCTTGACCAAACGGAATCGCTCCATCTTGTCCATGTCTCTGCGCCGTAGCGCCTTGATCTCGCCGATGATATGTGCCAAGACACCCTCCGCACATCTGTTGCGAGGCAGCGCGTGTTGGTTCGGATTGCGCACATAGCGGCGAGTCACATCTGCACAGCCATCTGCCGAGAAGGCTATGCAGTACGACATCTTCTTATTCCAACCTGATGTGATGTTAGAGTCTGGCCACTAGTGGATTGGAAGAATGAAGCTCACCTCGAGAGTAAAGCAGGGGAGCATCCCATGCTTCCTCACAAACGTCCACATGCACCCATCTTTCGCGGTGTGCACTCCAGACCTCAGTCCAGACGTGGTCCTCTGCGTTCCATACCYATCTGACCCTGCTGCCAATAGCTCGACAAAGCATGGTGAAGCAGTTGGCCCATTCGCCCACTCGGCCTCTTCGAGTCTGAAGCAGTACAAATGCATCGTTGTAGCGAGGGAATCGTTCAAAAGACTGGCATTGTGGGTTGCTGCATTGATACAGCTCAACCCGGCTGGCGCCTCTGGCTTGCTCGTCGGGCAAGGGCGCAGAAAAGGTCATGCTGGCGGTTGGCGCACGGCAAGCCGAGCATTTGGGATGGTTGACCCACTCAAAGAAATCTCGTTTGAACCACTTCATCAATGCTTTGACCACACAGTCCTGGTATCCCCAGGCAGCTTTGGTTTTGGGACCTAATGATTGAGCTTCGGCTTCGTACATGTCAGATTCTTCCTGCGCCTCATCGTAGATGCGCTGGAGAGGAATGACGCCGAGCGCTTCGTCCAATAGACCCGGATTCTCCCATTTCATTGGCGTGCTGGACAGGCCCATGAGCAGATGGCGGAAGCGTAATGACTTTTGGTCTGTGGGCGGTGTGATGAGGGTCGGGATGTTCTTGAGCGAGGAGTATGCGGGTGGTGGAGAGCTGGGTCGTGCTACGCTATCCAATGCGCCGGGTATGGCAGGTGCTTCTCGAGATGGCGGCAGAGGTTGCGACTGTGATTGCGAATGAGGCACCACTACGAGCGCCGGGGTTGCTCGACGGGACGATGCACGGCGGATAGAGCCCGGACGACTGCTCAACTCATTCATACGCTTCGTCGACAGCGTGCGGCGGAACTGCACCGTCAGGTCCTTGGCCCAGTCCTCGTTCAAAGGCTGAGCCGAGGGCACGGGCTTGCGACGCGGGATGCGATTCGGGTCGGCCATGGCGGCGGGAGAGTGGAAGATGTTCGACAGGAGATGCGATGTGTCGCTGTCGTGGGTAGTGGTGGTGGTGGTTGTGGGTTGGGTGCTTTGAACGCAATGTAAGGTAACGAATCCGAACAGTCGTCTCGAGGACCAGGTTGGATGGAAGGGTTGATGCAAGTGCCGATCGTCTCTCACTGCCCTGCACTGCCACCGTCCACGAACGTCACTGCCTCTCCAACAATATTGTCAAGCAGTGCCTCCCCGAATTAAACACTGTGAAAACGTCGAATGTAAATCTGGCGGAAGAGACTGCTTAGCGAACGAGATGAATGGATGGGTAGGGTGGAGGAGTTGGTGCTCTGAAGAGTGGGGAGCGTCGTGTGTGGCCGCGTAAGCCGCGCGTTCTCTGAACATACGGCCAAAGCATCGCCGCCATGGTCGGCGGGAATGCCTGGAACAACTGTGTAACGCAATCCTCACTATCCGCGTCAAATACTCCTGCTCGTTGCATTGCACCAAACCGAACTTCTGGTCGCGTCCATCTTTACGCCTGGGAAGCGTGAGGCCAAGGCTCCCAGTGTGGCTGATGTACTGACATCCCCTATCTGACCAAAGATCAACCCTTCACCACAATTCTTTCCCAAGATCAGCATCCTCGACCCACCAACGTCCGTTCATATTCGCCACCTCATCAATGCAAGTGCGCTCTCTCCTACTGCGTGCGGACAAAAGATATGCCAAAAAACTGCACAACCCCTGTCAGTTCGCTGCTTCTGGAAAATGGACCCCCGGCATCCTAGCTTAAACAACATGAGCATCTCGCCCGCCGCGTGCGCAAGCTGACGAGTCATTCCTTTCCCATACCGCCTGATCTCAGTGTTTCCAAGGGTAATGGAAGTGTTCTAGAAGCGCTGTCGTGGCCCTGCAACATGGAATGCTTCCACCGAAAGGCTTCGTGGATGGACTTGGCAAATGTTCACCGTACCAGACTTTCAACTTTTCGCCTTCCCACAATTGGCAAGATCCTCATGATATCGCACAGGCGTATGGTCGGGATCGAGAGACTAATCTGATCTATGGTAAAAGTGGAACATCTGGTCTGTAAAGGAAACTCTCCATCTTTCCTTCAATGACTGGAGGACTTCTACGGTAAGGTAGTAGCACAAACGCAGAAGACACCGCGCTAGCCGCCGATGATATTCACGCAACGAGATGCCAAGGCGTGAAGACTCGCAAAGCAAGTGTTCCAATGTTTCGTGGAYGAAATCAAGCAACAGCATACCACTCACCAAGCCATTCCTCATCTGCAAACTACGCTCGTAGCTTCAAACGTTCCATATAGACCATATCCATTCAGAACTTCAATCGAATTGCAGATTGTAAACGCAATTCCATACCTGTTCACTCTGCTGTACACATCACCCGAACACGCAATCTCGACCCCACGTGAACATATGTCTCGGGCCTTTTAGCCTGATGTACATGTAAATGCTCGCGAAGTGTGTTTATTGATTCGCCAACCGGGACGCGAGGATGTGTCCACTGGGGGAAGTTTCATCGGATCTCGTAGACTGGACTGGGTTGACGCGGCTTCCGCCACGCTCTCTCTGTCCGGACCGTACCACAGGCGGCGAATCGCAGAACTGGAGCTGTTGATATATAGTTACCCATTGTGTATGATATATCGAAATGGGGTAAGTGACTAAGCTGATCATTTGCTGTAGTGGTAGGTTACTGGTCATACACTGCTACCGCCATGCGTTTGAAAGGACCTCATTCCTCATGCCAGCCAAAGCCCACGTAAGCGGACCGTCGATCTTATTCCCGCCTACAGCAGAGGTATACCGGCCGGCATGTCGCCGGAAAATTTACGAGGACTTTTTGACATGCCTCTGAGCATGCCCAAGGCTAGTCGCACGCCTACCTTGAAGCCTGGAAAATGCAATCGATGGATTTGGCATCAGCGCACATTGCACAGGCAGCGACAATCCGGCACAGGACAAGTGCTATGCTTCTTGAACCAACTTCTCGCATGATCCGCGTGGAAGCCATGCTGACAACTCACGCAAAAAGTAAGAAACTTCGCCATGACATCTCCGAGTTTCGAGAGCTCTGTCGCTCCTCCGCGCCGGTGAGGGTCCGGTGTACCTAGCCACATCTTACAAATACCACAACGTGGCATTCGTCTGCCACACTTGGGACAGATGATGCCCGAGCTAGCTGCGGGACCCGTGAAGCCTCGACTATTTCCGCCGGCGATTGTGTCGCCGTCCTGTCTTGCGAGGGATGACTGACAGTGATTACATCGAAGGGTGACTTGTCCCGCAGGAGTGTCCGTGAGACTCTGGCCATCTCTTGTCTTGGCCATGTGGTTGTGCTGGACAAGGAATTGTGAACGCTCGCTGAACGCACGCCAACTTTGCATCTGGGTAAAGTATGTCTCCTTCCACATCTCCCACCGCGGGTCGTTGACGTAGAGTGGATTCGTGAAAGCTGTCGCAAGGACGGCGGTTTGAAGGTCGTTGGTCTTTGCGATGTAAGTCTGCAAGAGGTCCATCGACTGTTCGCCTAATCCGGTGAGCAGGAGGCCTTCCAAGTCGCCATTCTTGACGGCACGTGCTGTTTCGCTCTGAATAAAGCCTCCCAATTCGGTGTCGTTGAGGTACTTCAAGCCCAAAGCAACCCTGTATCCTAGATGGAGGTAATTTGTCTTCATCACATCGCGCCAATCCTGGCTTGCTAGAAATGTAAGTAGCGCTTTCAGTGCGGGATCATCCGTGTCTGCTGCCATCCACATGCACATTTCCCGCTGCTCTTCGTTGATAGTGTCGGAGGCAAGCAACGCACCCAATCCAATGTTCGGCACAACTTTGCTTCTGATCAGTGTTCGGAGGATGTTGAGCGCAACGTGGACGCGTTCATGAAGTACGGCCTGCACGATAGCCTGGTATGGCAGTCCACGTTCAATGAGCTGATAGCATTCGTCCTCGAGCGTCTCCGTGGTCCACTTCCAACCACACATCTCCAGGCACAGCTGGCGGTGGTTAGCATAGTTTGTACGCTGCCCCTCAAAAGCAGGCAACCGCCGCGCCGCAGCCAATTCGGTCACAGCATCTTCTATCTTGGCCGGCGAAGGTGAGAGTCTTCGATTCGSGCTGGTACCAAGTCTCTCCAAACATACGCCAGCCACGCCGATGAAGCTCAGATCCAGCGATTCTGCAACCATGCCTCCATTTGCAGATTGCTCGCAGAAGCGATTCACAATCTCCCACAAACGCTCAAGTTGCCAATTCCCGGCTATGATTTTGGTGTTTGTATGACAATTGAAAAGGTATCCTTGGCGACATCGTTGTCGTTGAACTGTGGCTGGGGCAAGTAGATGAGATATTCGGGGAGAGGCTGGGCCGCAGAAGAGTTTCTTCTCCTCGGCCGTTTCGTTAACGGGCTCCCCACTGTATGGACCAAAGTCTTCTGCTGTTCTCCTCTGCCTAAGGTTCGGTCTGGTGGCCTCTGAACTTGGGTCAATCTCGGTTATCGATATATCGTGAAAGGCGACGCTGAAGTCGTGTCGAGCGCTGATACGAGCGTGTGGGATAGTGCAAGGTGCCTTCAGAATATCCAGTTTCCGGTTCGGCCGTAAAGCGATGACCTTTTGTTCTTCATTCTCACTGTTCCCCGCAATCCAGTCAAAGGCTATCAACTTCTCGTTAGGGCGGACGTCTTCTATGTCTTCGTGTGGTCCCTCTATCCTGCGAGTCTGTGCAACATAGCAATTGGTCTTCCACGGCGTTCCCCCATACGTATTGATAGGCACGTACTCGTTCGCGTTTGGCATGGATGTACGCCCCTCCACCATATCAACCACACGAAGCTCTCCACGGCTGGAGCAAATGGCGAGCCGCCCGCGCCTTTGTCCAGAGTATCGTAAGCTCCAAATGGAAGTTCGAGAAGAGTTGTCCACAGCCGATTTCATGTCGAATACTGCCACGCCATTGCCCGATACACTCTGGGTGAGCCATCGCTTGTCCCACACCGAGACGTCAGGATCGCCAGTAGACCCCCCAGAAGCGAAATAGTGCTCATCGGAATCGATGGTGATGTTGTTCACGTTGCGAGTTGACACCTGTACATTGCTGCCAGATCCAAAGTATCCATCTCTGAGATCGTATATCCTGATGGAAGAGCGCTGCGCCGCTACAATCAGTTCTTGTGGTTGACTAGGAAACCACCGCACGCTGGAGACGACTTCTGCAGGACAGAGCCTCCTTATGGGGGCCTCCTGTCCGCTCTGACTGTCGGTGTTCGCATCCCATATGTTGAGTCCTATGTCAGATCGTGTCTTATCTAGGCCAACCTGAGGAGAAGGAATTGAAGGTTAGCTTCACTCTCCGATAGGATACACGAATCGGGGTTGATGATGGACCCCGCTCGAATTTCGTAGAAGCAAAGAGCCCTCCGTTGGCGGAGCCTGTCGTTGTGCTCTTGAAATGAGAAATGGATAAAACGACGATAGAAAGGGTGATATTCGTGCCTCTTGTCGTGATTGAACTTACTGCCAGCCAGTTTTGGGTAGAGAGGGCCACTGAATTGCACTTCCGCTGCTGCTTCAGCTTGAATGTAGCAACAGTTTGGGATGGTCGTTCGTCCTCGTTCAGCTTTACCAGACATGCACTACCGCTGACAAGGCCGAGGGCAACGATGGACTCGTCAGTCTTGTGCCAATCGAATGCTCCGAAATTGGGCAAGCGGCCATAACGCGCCACGGTGTGGTAGGAGACATCCTTTGAACTTCTTCCCTCGACGTGGTTCAATGTGAGGCTCTGATCCGTGACGTCGACAAGCAGGAATCGCTCTCTACCAGGGACCGAATGCGGCGACCAGCGAACAGCTGCTTCCATCTCGACTTCCCTGCATTGCCGTCGGCCGTTAGGTTGTTGTTAGGATGCCGGGTCTTTCGGAGTTGGGCAAAGTGGTATGAAGAGGAAGCGGTTAGTCTCGATTGGTCTAGCGCGAATCTAGCTCGTCTGCTTCACGTTACACGTCGCGTCCGCCCAAACTTCAACACTTCGCGCCACCATCGTCTCAGGGAAGGTCCAGTAAGCTCGCGGTCCAGCCATACAGTCATATGATACATGAATGATAGCATGGTGAGACTCTGGATCCACCAGTATGAGCGAAGATCAAGATGTTCAGGGCTCAGACTTGCCAGCGGCGAGCCAGCATCATTCCCTCAAATATCATCTTCTAGGCCCATCACTCACCAAGAGCGGACAAGATGGAGTCGACCAGAAGAAAGTGTCTGAGATTATCTACAACGCAAGCAAGGGCAGCAGATATTTCAACAACGAGGAGGAGAAGGACAAACAGCTTACTGTCAAGATCAACTCAATCTTGCTAAAGCGACGCGAACTGGAACGAATTGATGCAGCCGGTGGCCTACAGAATGAGAAGAAGAAGGCGGACAACTACATCGCCGAGCTTGAATACGGCCGCGATCTGAGTCAGGCAATTGTGCACGTTGACTGCGATGCCTTCTATGCTGCAGTTGAAGAGCTTGATCGCCCAGAGCTGAAGGAAGTACCATTTGCTGTCGGAAAGGGGGTTTTGACAACATGCAATTATTTGGCCCGGCAGTTCGGCTGCCGTAGTGGCATGGCAGGCTTCGTTGCAGACAAGCTGTGTCCTGAGCTACTGCACGTTCCATTGAACTTTGAGAAGTACACTGCAAAAGCAAAGGAAGTCCGCAAAGTGCTGGCAGAGTATGATCCGCGTTTCGAATCCTCATCAATCGATGAGGCGTACTTGAACATCACAGAATATTGCGCGCACCACGATCTCTCTCCAGAGGATGCAGTCAGCCAAATGCGTGCACAGGTTTTTGAGGAGACTAAGATCACCGTCTCGGCGGGGATCGCAGCGAATGCAAAACTGGCCAAAATTTGCAGCAACAAGAACAAGCCAAACGGTCAATACAGGCTTCCTTCGGATAGAACCACCATTCTCAACTTCATGCGCGACCTACCTACTCGGAAAGTCAACGGCGTAGGCCGAGTGCTGGAGCGTGAGCTGGACGCCATCGGCATAAAGACTTGCGGTGATATAGGCCCATCACGTCATTTCTTGAATAGATTATTTGGAGAGAAGACATTCGATTTTTTGATCGGTGTTTATCTTGGACTTGGGAGGACTGACGTCCGGCCCGCGGAGGAGACAGAGCGTAAAAGCGTTGGAACGGAGTCTACCTTCCATGACATGTCAGACCCGAAGGAGCTGCGGGATAAGCTGAAATGGATCGCCGAATCTCTAGAGGAGGACCTGCAACGTACCGAGTTCAAGGGACGGACGTTGGTATTGAAAGTCAAACTGCACACGTACGAAGTCCTCACTCGCCAAGTCCAGCCTCCCAAGGCAGTTTATACATCGGAAGATTTGTACCATTATGGATTGCCAATGTTGACAAAGCTAGAAAAGGAGAACCCGGGGATGAAATTGAGACTGATGGGATTGAGATGCACACATCTTGTCAGCACGAAAAAAGGGGAGGTGGACTTTTTCGGACGTGCAAGGCAGAAGTTGACTGAGACCGGCGGCTCAAAAGTCGAAATCGACGATGACGGCTGGCAAGTTTGGCCACATTCCGAAATGGCCTTTGAAGAAGCTGCACGACAGGAACGAGAGGCGGAAATGGGTGAGATTGAGAGGCTTTCACAACAACACGAAGAGGATGCTGCGGCTGCAATGCCGGCCAAGCCCAGCAATGAGGCGGATTACAATCGCTATGCCAACGGTTTTGCATGGCGCTCTCTCTTGGAGCAAGAAGCTATCGCCGAAGCAGCTCTGGCTCCTGTGGCGGCGCCGGAACAGTGGCATTGTCCAATCTGCAGCCGCCCACAGCCAGCGGACGAGCGTGCCTTCAATGAGCACATTGATGGATGCCTGTCAAGACAAACCATCAAGGAAATCGTCAAGGAGCCGACGCCGCAGAAGGCGTCCACCCCGAACAGAGACATTGGCAGCACGAGTGTAAAGCGGAAAAGGGCGAAGGATCATGAAAAGAAGCCAAAGAAAAGTTTCTTCTCTTGATGCCGATTCAATGTAATGAATAATGAACATGGATAATGACAATTCCCACCAGGACTTGGGATCATATACGAAAAGCAGCAAGCTTTGATCTTCCTGTACGACATGATGCCCGAAGTATTTGCAAGAGTTGAATATCAAAGAAAAAAACTGGAATCACTCATGTGATACACTGCGGTCCCTTCACGCAACGTAATGCAACATCAAATGCCAGACTGACGCCCTTAGCACGGCGTTCTCGACTGGTCCGCCCAGAACCTTGCCGCGCTGTAACCCCCTAGGCGGCTCAAACCGACATGATGCAACGGGTCGCTGTATCATGAGCTGTTATTATCCGCCAGCACTGGCTCGAGGGTGACTAGACGTTCGAGCTCGACTTCAATGAATATGATGCCCCATGCCCGTATTTAATTAAGTCGATGCCTTGGACATGGTCCTGTGACAATTTGGAGGCTCTAGCCAAGACGCAAAACGCTCGTGTGAACCATAAGTGAGAATTGCCTCGAGACTGTTCCGTCGCGTGGACTTCACTCCTGAAATCTGAATATCATGTAGAAGGCCGTGAATCGATCTTGATTGAACTGTACACAAAGCGAGTGCGAAGCGAGAGCGCTATGAACGGATATCGACACAACGGAAATACGAAAGAACATTCATCCGACCACAAGACCCATGTATTTCCTCCCACGTGACCGCCTGATGCGCCTACAATGTCGACTCTCAAAACTCGCCTCCATCCCAGAACGTCAGTCGCCTGTTCTTGGCCTGCTCTTGTGCATCAAAGTCTAGCTTCCTCATGCGGTTCATGGGTGCCGTCTGCTGTATCAGACTGTCAGGCGCCGCGAGWTAAGCAGGAGTAGCCGGCGACTCGTCCCCGAATGAACTGTCACCGCTGTTCTCCTTTTCTGCGAAATCGACAGACAATCCCRTGGTGGGCGACTCGAAAGAAGGTGACATGGCCTTCAGCGCTCGCCCAATCGAGCTTCGTCCAAGACTGCTCTTCCGGTTGGTGTCGCGCACTACGTTGCCGCCGATGTTGAGCAAAGATGTGGGCTCCATACTCTTACGGCGACGCTTGGTAGCCCGCTGGTCCTCAATATCCACGATGTAGGCTTCGTCGGTCTCATCCATACGAGTACCTTCACTGTTTGAGTCGTTAACCCAACGTCCATTGACGCAGAAGATTTCCTTGCCATTGCCACTCTCGATGACTTGCTTGTTGTGAATTCGAAGCTTTTGCAGAGTAGCAGGCGACCCCTCCTTGTAGATGACATGTGTGACGCGATCATTGAAAGTCTTAGTCGTCTTGGCCCCAAGACTGTGCAACACAGCAATATACGTGGAGTTTGCACTACTGCYGTCGTTCAGGAAAATGTCAACGTAAGCATTGACACCTTTGAGGGGTGCACCAGGGTGAGGTGTCAGTGGGATCTGCCCAGGAGTCATGGCTGGAGCCCGGAGAGGTGTCTTAACTGGTGTGTGGGAAGCCATTGGCGTTCCGRCTTTCAGCGCCATCTTGCGAAGCGAGGCAGGTTTCTGCACAGTAGCTGGTCGCTTTGCTGGTGACTGCGAAGGTGTGCGGAAGCGGGAAGCTGGCATAGCTGTTCTTGCATGCTCCTCGTAGGTTCTGCGGTGCGGTAGCCCGGGGTAGCGCTCCTCTGGTTGAACTGTGTTGCTTACATCCTCGATTGGTGAAAAGATAGACTGCTCAATTTGTGGCGTGGTAGAGACCGTTTCCAAAGCACGGCCTGACGCCGGTGTCTTGACGAAATCCTCGTACTTTTCAGCCGGCGGGAGTGCCGGGAAACGCTCCTTCGTGCTTGATTTGGCTRCAGAARGGATGAACTGCCCAGGCGTCTTGGCCGTTGGAGTGCTCGCTAGCTCCTCGTATGTCTGTCGAGACGGCAGGCCAGGAAATCGCTCTCTGGGGGTCAGCCTCACACTCAGTCTGCTGCTTGTGCGTGGCGTTTGGGTTATGCCGGCTCTACCACTTGTTCGTGGAGTTTTCCGCGAAGACATCCTCGTTGGTGTGCCGATGGATGGCGTCTGCGGTCTTGAAGCAGGTGTTCTGTTAAGACGGAAAGGTGTCATGGATCGTTGCAAATCGTCCTGAGCAGCCGACATGTTTGCAAACGGGTTGGCAATACGGTGTATGCTGGCACCATCGGAAGTTTTCGGTCTCGAGCCGTTCATGGGAGTATGATATACTATTGCGGGCAGCGACTTGCGCCGGAACGCGATCGTAGGCATTGCATAGTGAGGCGTGTTCGGTTCTAGTACGTGGTGAGGCTCTTGCTGCGGCACGTCTGGCAGAGTTGGCATGCTTTCGCTGCCGGTGGTCGACGGTATCTTGGCAGGAGTTACAGCGCRCAGTGGTGATGCAGCCGCAGTTGCGTTGGACATATCGTCGTCAAGCTCGGCTTGGGGTGCTTCCATGTCGACATCGTTATAATCGTCCTGGTCATGTGGTTGACGTGGCTGTTCTGCGAGGGACGACATGTCGAGGAAGTCACTCAGGTTGACGGTTGCATCGACAGACAGGCGTACATCCCCAAAACTTTGCCGTTGATGTTGTGTGTCTGCCAGAATCATGTTCGTCTCGACAGAAGGCCTGTGCTCAACATCCTGAGTGGTTTCTTGTGGTTCCACACATTCATCAGAGGACATTGGCTCTTCGGGCTCTTGGAGGGGAGCTCGGGTACCAGAAAGTACGTTGTCGAAATTGAAAGGGATAGTTACATCTTCCCGTAAATTGTCCCATTGTATGGTTTCTGGCCTTGGGGTCATGATCGGCAGATGTAAGTCCTCCATGGATTCATCGCAAGTCAGGCTCTCGTCGGCCTCAGGGGCCGTGTCGTGGTGGACGACGATGCTCCCTGCCGATTCCAGCGTGGTCTCTATTCGCGAGTCCACGGTGTTTCCCATGTCTTCATCTTCCACAAGAATGGTCTCATTTGAATCATCCCTTTCCGCGAGACAGGGCTCATCCTCGGTTTCGCCGTAAGCCTCCACGATAGACAGATCCTGCATTTGAAAGGGAATCTTGACAATATCATGCTCGGCTGCATCGGTATCGACATCCTCAATGCTGACCTCCTTCGACGATCCAACCGCGCGTGCCGGAATCAGGGCACATTCTGCGTCGCTAAGCTCATCCCCCTCCGAGATGTGGATAGAAGCTTCAGAAATGTCGGCTTGTCCCACATTCATTGGCACCATCTCGTCCTCTGTAGACAAAGTTCTGTCATCTACTTCTGCTGTCTCGTCGGCTTCCTCGAGAGCAAGAGACAGATCCAGAGGCTGCAACTTGGGGAAAACCATAGCTCTATCCCGTGCTCTAGCTGCGGTTGTGGGCCTCACTTCTGATATTGGCAACCGAGGCTTGCAATAGGGTTTCTGCGTTTGCGGTGTGCCGACCTGTGAGCCAGGAACCAAGAACCGTCTGGCAGGTGTCTCCATTGGAACGTCCTCTGAGAATCTACCTTTATGTGCAGATGTGTGTTTTGACAGCTCACGGGGGCTCATGCGCTTCATGGGTGTCTTGGGTCCACAAAGTTCATCCGCAGATATCTCGATCTCTCCACCACCATCTGAGTCTGAAGCCTCGACATGGTCCTGAAGAACATCGTCATCAGGCTCCAGAACTGATTCTGCCGGTGTCGTCGGTGTCGTCGACATTGGTGTGTCATTGTCGATCTCAATCGTCTCCGGCTCTGTTACAGCCTTTGCTGCGGCCTTGCTCACTGCAGGTGTGCCTTTCGAAGCCTGCCTTGTGTTGATTTCTTCACTTTGCTGGTCTGCAGTGGATGGTCTAAACTCTGGAACGCCCGCGTTCTCGTCCGACACACCTCGCCGCCGCGTTGCTGGCTTGCCCTTTGCAACGACTTTTCCAATCTCCTTTCCAACCACCGCCTTGATATTGGTAGTCCTCGTATTCCGAGCTGGTAGTTTGGGCATCTGGGTGATCTTCTTAGGTGAAAGTGGTGCCGCCTTCTCCTTGGCTGCGGTGGCACGAGTTGAAGCCGTTGCGCGCGTAGCACGCGCAGTCCTTGTTTGAGCGGGTGGGGCAAGACTGGGTGTCGACGTCTCGGTCTTACTGGGCTTTACAGCGCGTGTCGCGGCTGTCTTGCCGGGAGCGGTGGCAGTCGTCGCGCGAGCTCGAGTTGCTGCGGCGGGTTTGCTTGGAGCTGTGGTGGTGGTGGTCGTGCTGACATCGTCCTTCTTTGCGCGGGCTTTCCGTACCACTTTAGGCGCTGCCGCACTTCCATCTCCGTGTAGTTCGTCCGCTTCTTCGTCCTCCTGCTCGGGCTCCACCCTCTTGGATCGTGTTGTCTTCGCTGCAGGCGCTGCCTTGGCCGGTTTCGTTGCTGCCGCTGCCTTTCGCACGGGCTTCTTTCGTAATTTCAATTCCGCTTCTTTTTGGTCGTCGACACCTGTTTGGGCACCGCCTCTTGTCGAAACCATGTTGGCGGATGGATGTGGAGATGTAGGAAGGGAGGTTGCCCCGACCGTTTGTTTACCAAGAATCGAGTAAACAAACGTTAACTTAATAAGCTTTCGGCATCGGCTTATTTGAAGCTCGGGCCAACATGAGCGCACAAGGATAGACCTGCCAGGCCTCCTCCATATTCGACATGGAGAGGTTTCTCCTGACAATGACGGTTGTCACAATCGCGACGGACATGATAAAGACGAGTCTGTCTAATACATGGGGCAGTCATCGGACGTGAGCAGCAAAGACGTCTACCAAACCTCAAATCGCAGTATAGATCGATCCTCCTTCGCTTCTGCTCTCCCCTATTTCTCACTATACTGTCAGATGGCTATGTGCTCCTCAACAGGCACATTGCTATGCTGTGCCACAAGAAGATCTTCCCATCATCTTTCCACAGAGAGACCGACTTGTCTTGGAACGCCGATGCGTCAAGGTGATGTTGATCGCCGGGCATGCTTTTTCAAGGATTCAACGACGTCATAAACCTCGCAGCTTCCCCAAAAAGCACACCACGCGTGAGCGGATACACTGTTGATCAACAGCCTAGGTAAGCTCAACTCTAAAGAGCGTCAGATATACCTACCTTACCTTGTACGCTGCAGAATACTTTGCCTACCCCAATTCAATCCCTTTCCGTCAATTTCCGTTCTCCAATCACACTACCTATATCCCATCATGGCGACCAAAGGCATAGAAGACTTCGAGTGCCTCACGATCGGAGAGCTAGAGAAACATGCCTACAACTTGATGGACAAGCAAACGCGCGACTATTACAATGAAGGGTCCGATTCGGGTTCAACTCTCCGCGAGAACCAAACCGCATACGAGAAATATCGCATCAGACCGCGCGTACTCCGCGATGTTTCCGCTGTCGACACATCAGTCAACATCTTTGGTCACAAGAACAGCATACCTCYTGGTGTAGCYCCAACAGCCATGCAATGTCTTGCTCACTCAGATGGCGAGCTGGGAACCGCTCGAGCTTGTAAGAAGGCAGGTGTTGCCATGGGTCTCTCGAGCTTTGCGACCAAAAGCCTAGAGGAGGTTGCCGAAGCGAGTGAGGGCAACCCTAACGTGCTGCAACTATATTTGTTCGAATCTAGAGAGCATAGTCGAAAGCTCATCCAGCGTGCAAAGCAAGCAAAGTTCAAGGCCGTCTTCCTCACTGTCGACACTCCATTTCTGGGACGACGGAATTTGGAGATACGCAACCAGTTCAAATTACCACCACATCTGAARATCGCAAACTTTACAGACGATCAAGAGGAGCAGGCGCAAGAATCACAAGATAGACCTAAGCTTGAACGGACGGCTTCTGAGCCTGGTTACTTCGATGGAGAGAAACGAGTGCTGCCCAAGGGCAAGGTCACGTTCCATACACATGCACCCAACCCCACGCTCTCGTGGTAAGTCCAGGTTTCCTCACAATGGGATGAGTCGTTGTATTTTGTGGAACGTCTCATGCTAAATCTCTTATAGGGAAAGCGACATCGACTGGCTCAAAAAGGAGTGCCACCCAGAGATGCAGGTCTGGGTGAAGGGTATCGCTACATCCGAGGATGCCATACTTTCCCTGCATCATGGAGTTGACGGTATTGTCGTCAGTAATCATGGCGGTCGACAGCTTAACGGGGCTCTCGCAACATTGGACGCGCTCCCTGAGATTGTGGATGYAGTTGGTGGAAAGATTCCCATTCACGTCGATGGAGGCATCAGGCATGGAACAGACGTGTTTAAAGCGCTTGCACTCGGTGCAGACTTTGTTAGTGGTATCTTTCATCTCTCTCTCCGATTGTGTGCTGACTCTTCCATGTAGGTATGGATCGGAAGGCCTGTCCTCTGGGGCTTGGCCTACAAGGGACAGGCAGGAGTTGAGTTGTGCCTCAAGCTGCTCGCCGATGAGATTAAGCTGTGCATGGCCCTCGCAGGAGTTGTTAATGTCCGTGAAATTTCCAAGGAGTATCTTGTGAAGGTGAGTTGTAGAAGTTCTCTCGTAGAAAACGCGACGTGGTGTACWGACTTRCTTGCAGATTGACAAGAGCGGATTTGTGGCGAGGTTGTGAATCGTAGTTTATTGTACCAATCAATGTCTGGCAATGTTTGTAAAGAAGCAGAGCATAAAAATGTAGTAGATGTACATATACGGAGGACATCGATGTCTCGGCCAAGCGAATTATGTTTGAAGACGTGTGTTATGCTCAACTCGGATCCATGCCTAGGTAGTACCTGTACTTAAAATATCGGCCAGTAGCTACCGTTAAGGCAGGCCCTCCGTGATTCCAAGCTCGCGTCCGCAAAAGCACCAGCATCTCCTGCCGACACATAACCCGTTCGGATTCTCGTGACGGTAGTAGTAGTAAGCGGTCCCATCGTTTGGAGGAGTTGTGAAAAGTTCCAGCTCGCAGCAAGGTAGAGATTGCTCACTTGTTCCTTGATGTCTGGAGGCAGATCTGCGTTGTTACCGCTTAATGCAACCTCTGGCACTGTTTCCTGAACCGGTCKAGCTTTTGGACCGTGTTTTCAGGCTGTGTGCGCAGGAAGCTGCCCCTGTGCGTTAAGAGCTGGTTGACAAGCTGTCTGTACGCCTTAGATATCTCTCGATCACAGTCGCCGCGCGCCGGTCTCGCTTGTCCATCACGACGTCTTGCCTCGCGTTATCGTCCATCGACTGGGACAACTGCGCGATAAGGCCCGAGGAGTCGCCACCCTGTGTGGCACACAAGTCTTTGATAAGCTGTTCGTGCTTGCGCATGCACCCCTTCTCCACTGCCGGGAAAACTATTGTATTTCCACTCTGGACCATTGTTTCCAGAGCTACTAGGACTTTCTCCCGCCTGCGTTAGTAGCCCGCATACCTCTTCGTCGAGAAGTCGAAGCTGGATCTTGCCGGACCGTATTGCTGCGCCGCCAGGGATTCCAGCAACATTTTCAGACTCAGAACCGCATGCTGACATTCATAATGCGTGTGTGCGCCTGTGCTCCGTTCTTTGACCATGATCTCGCATACGCTTCTTCCCGTCTGCTCGGCCTTTTCCCGCTCGTATTGAACCGGATCCTTGGTGATGAGCGGCACTGGGCAGTTGGAGGGAAACCAGTGACTGTCGCATCGGACGGTCACAAAAACTTGCCCTTTGTCGCTGAAGTTGGTTCGTACAAGCCTCCCGGCCTGAGTACATGGTTGACCAACTGCAGGGCCTTCCCATCAGTTTCGTACTAGTAAAACATCTCGCCACGAGGCTGGAGGACCTCCTTGATTCGGACAGACTCAGGGCGCAGTAAGGTAGGTTTGCGAAGATCTTGTGGCACACTTCCAGGGGTATTGGGCAGCTTACTATACACCAACACTAGATAACCATATCTATGCGCTCTTGTTGCGAGGCCGTTATTCGTTAACAGCTGTGCGATATGGTATCTCATTTTGCTGTAATAAGTTCATGTTCATCTATTTTCATAGTCGTGATTTGAAAAGAATGGAAGATTCGAAGAGCTGAATGAAATACCTGGTACCTATAGATGCTTGCATATATACCATGAGATTGTCGTTCTAGTAATGTCAGCATTTCACTGCACCATACTTGATCCTGGGCCAAGTGGTCGTCGTGCGTCCATAAAGCTTCTAACAGTCTACAGCGACCTTGCTGGTAATCAGCTCTGTAATGCAGGTAGCATTATCAATCCAAGTTTTGCTTGTGTCAGGGGAAGAACCTAGCAGCACTGCGGTATTAGCAGCTGCGAATGATTGTTGAGAGCATCTAGGATAGGTAGATATGGATACCTCGCATGGTTCAGCCCCAAAACCCTCCTCATTCCTTCAACATTCAGCTTAGTGGGTCTTGGCCTAGGAGCAGTCAATCCAATGCCCATACAAGCAGGTTCCGACGATCTTTACGTCTCTTAATGCAGAGGGTCGATCCATAGACATGTGACAATACTTTACCTAGGTAACAAGTTAGTACTTTGCCCACGTTGCTTTTTTGCAAGGTGACGTATTTGGTCAGTAGAGGACGCAAAACGTACATAGAGGACGCAGAGCCTACCCACCTCCGTCCTGGCTTTGGCTCACTCCGGAGATACCTTTGGGAATCGATCGATTTGTCCCTTCTGCTGCACAATACATCTCGTACGCATCAAGACGTGAATGCGCAATACATCTCGAACGCATCAAGACGTGGATGATTCGAAGGATCTCAGGTCGCCCATCATGGTCCGCATCAAAACAAATTTCCTGCGGCGTCTGCGCGATGTGAACCCTCTCGCAAGGTTTTGCGGGATGCTGGTGTCCGTCCACGCACTCATAGGCGGTCTAGAGCATATGTCGCRCCTCCGTCTCCAGGACCGCACGTTCTTGATGTCAGGTGTATATTTCCTGGTTTCGTTTCCGTGGGCTCTGATTTGGACAGCGCACGTTGCGTCTTTCATGCAGTACGCTGGACTTCGATGGATGCTTGCAGGAGCTCTAACTGGGTTGTCTGGCGCGGGATTCCTGGTCAAAGCTGGTGTCCCCGAGAGACTCGACCTGTTTCCTCCCGAACAATTGATGCATCTCCGTTTTGTGGTCTTTCTGGCTCATGTTGGATTTGGGCTGGCATACGCCATGTACTCTACCTTGTTCGCGAACCTGGGCCCTCCGACTTCCTGCCAGACCGACGATGTCATTACTGCGAGCGTAAATACGCACGGGAGACATGATCAACCCAGCGACAAGGACACGACGATACCAAAGTCGGAAGATTCAGCCGATCCCAATGCGGTGGCAACCTGTGTCTTCACGATGGTGTGGCTCGCAGCATGCTATTGCCAGACCATCGCCGAAGACGTCGTCATTTCCGGGATTTCTGATGGGTCTACGAAACTGGCCCTCGTCATCGGGCCCGCGATCTATCTTCCTGTGGCATGGATCTACACTCGCATAAGCGAACATGTTAAGCGGGAGTGTGGCAACGGCCTCCTCCTTGGCGGAGCAAGTCTAATTGTATTGCGTTGTACTTCTTCCAACATGGCATGGCAATCTTGGATGATGGATTGCGCCTTGGCATTTGTATGTGCAAACGCTGGCTTAATGGGCAGCCTGTTCATGTGATCACATTCAGATTTGCTGCGTTACTTCGAGGCTCTGCATTATCATTGTTCATGACACAGTCGGCTCAAGATTGAGCACAAATAGTGAAGAGAACTCCCAAAATGATTCTGACATTCGATACTGCAGTCAAAATAAAAGAACCGTTAAAATGATATATTGCCATCACAGCACTTCGCCAGACCTTCTCATTTTCTCCAGGCAAAGTCTCAGCCATTACGCTCACCAGGAACCCCGAGACCATGAACATCACCCAGCAAATACCCATCCTCCTGACTCAGCGCTTTGAGTCCCTTGCACCTGCGATAAGAGATGTGGGAGTCCCGATTACTCTTTCGACTGAAAACCAACCCACAGAACGGGCACTCTGTAATAAATGCGCCGCGCTTCTCTTGGACATGACGTTGGTAATTGTGCCAGCTGGAAAACGTTCGCCCGTTGCAGCCATGGTCGGAACATCGCAGCTCAGTATCACATTCGAAGGCGGTGAAGTTTTGGAGTGAACCAGTCTGTGGACCAACTTGTAAGTATTGTAGCTCATGGGGATTTCCGCTGACTTGGCGTTGAGTTGGATATGCGAATTGGGTGGCTCGGCCAGGGCAGTAGTTCATGGGGGCACTTGGCAAAAATCCAGATGTCCCGTCGATGCCATTGCTTGGTACCTCCGGAAATAGGGCTTGGTCGAAGGCCTGGGCTTGGGACGGCGCTCGCGGATCGTGTTCTATTGTAATGATAGTCTATGCGCTATCTTACCGAGGATATATATAACTCTTACGTAGGTCCTTACATTAGTTAGTTTCCTTAATTAACCTTTTCGGCCATATCTTTAACAGGTTATAAGCCCGGACCGCGTCTCTCTATAACGTCGATTTAACGCTTATAATACCGCTCCGTACTAGCTTTATAAGATAAATAACTTAAGGTGAATTTTACCTTAATTACTTTGCTCTTAAAGAAGTAATTTATTCTAGCTACCCGTTAAAGTAAATAGTCTCTTCGGAGAGCATTTAATAATAACTAGTAGACTCCTAACGTTAACGTAAGTTAATAGAGTTAATAAATTATCTTAGCTATATAGTCGATTTGTTAGTAGCTTAAATAGATAAACGCACTTTATTTAAACATTAAACTAAGGTACCTAGTAGGAGTTATATTATTTAATCTTAGATTAAACGGATAAGAGTAAAAAAAAAAGAGAAACTTGTCTTCTCGGATAAGCTCGGAGGTAAAAAACCTCTTTAAAACTTTAAAGCTATATATCCTTTCTCTAAACATCCTAGCTTAAGTAAGATTAAACTCCTTACTAACCTTTTAATTTATCTTATATTAATATCTTATAAGACTACCTCGTTTTAGTTATAAAGTAGCTACTCGCTACCCTTTTGTTTTTCCTTATAATAGGAAAAGTGCTTATAAATAAGATACTAGAGTAACGCGCTAAGCGACTATAGCAGCAGCGTAATTATATAGCGGCCTACCGCCTTTAAAGGGTAGGTAAATAATAGCGAGTAGTAGCCCGCTTAATAAAGCGCTTCTCTATAAATAAACCTAAGGAATTCTTAGCTAGGCCTAGCTACTTCTCTAGCCTAGAACCTTAGGCAAAGCTAATAACGCGACGGTACTTTAATCTATAAGATCCTCCTATAAAAACATCGGATACGGCGCGTATAATACCGAGTAAACACGTTAAAAGCACCTTAAAGGCTCTACTTACTTCGACTACCGCTAAAGACTTAGTTAATAACAATTAATTTTAAACTACTAGTAGCTCTTACTTAGGTAATCCTACCCCTAGAGCTAAGGGAAAATCGGCTACTATAATAACTCCTCCCTCCGATAGTTTATTATCTAAAGATAACTCTCCTAATACCGACGACGTACTAAGTAAGATTAAGAACGAGTCTAACCGCTAACTACTATTAACAAATATTAGTAGTATCCGCTATATATTACCTACTATGCTACCTACTACTCGATCTTAAACGCTATTAATGTCTTCGTTAGCTACCTTAGGCGTTAAGCGCCTAACGAAGGCGTCTTTAGAATATATTTAGGCCTTTACTAAGGCCTATAGAAATAGACGATCCTTTACTTTAGTAGAAAAACTTACTAGACCGGAGAACTAGACTCGCTAGAAGAAGGACATTACAAATGCCGTAGTAATAAAAGGACTCCTTAAAGTTCTTACCGGAGATCTTATTAAACTAACAGTGCTAATTAATAACGTTACCCCTAAACTAATACTTACATAACTTAAAGGCATCCCTACCTCTAAGTAGAATAACTATATGTTAGTAACTACATACTTTACTAAGTATAATTAAGTATTACTTTATAGAATTAAGGCAAGAGTTAAGACCTATCTTAAGGATAAGATTAATAGCTACTCTACGGTTCTAGAAGTAATAAGGATTCTAGATTATACATGCGAATTCTATTAGATTAACGTAGCTATTATAGCCTACGATAACTAGTATACGTGCATATTCGCCGACTATAAGGACTAGGCTTCATTTATTAATAATTTTAATAAACTCTACGATAATTTTAATCGTCTACGAGGAGGATAGAAGATTAGAGACGCATAAAAGAGTTAAATCTTCCTTCGAAATCTAGGCCTACTATTTAAAGATTAGGTAAATAATATCGGCGAGAATAATTAAGTAGCTAACTTTAGAGAAGGACGAGTCCTTAACTTTTACGAATTAAGTATAAAAGCGGTAGCGAAATAGACCTCCCTTTAGACTAAGATAAGTACTAACTTAATAAGGGACAATCGGTCCTATCTCGCTAGATATAATGCATCCGGTAAACGAGTACTAGATCCTAATCCTTACGTAGCTAGCTTCGGTCTACCTAATTTAGTCTATAGCTATCTAAGCTATAAGGAACTCCCGCGCTAATACTTAAATAAGAACTACTATTAATAGCACCCTAAGAAGAAACCTATATAGCCGTCCTTCCTATCTAAACGATAAAAGACATCTAACGGTCGGCGGAATATAGGCAGACTAAGTAGTTAATTAACCGGTTAACTAAATTAGACCGCTCCTCCGAATAAAGGAGGACCGAGGCTATAGTTAGTTTTACCCCTAATAGTATAACGGTATAGCAAGATATAGATATTATAGTTAGGGGTGCTTTAGCCCTTAGTACCCTTACTCTATAGATTAGAAGGGTAGCTATTTAAAGTCGGCGATATATTAAAAGACTCTTGTTCCTAGATAGTTAAATCTAATAGGTACTATTCCTCTACGAAGGAGTAACTAATACTATAACGACTATCTCGTACTAGGAGACAACTAATAAAGGACTATTAAATCCTTTACTATTGCTAAACTAATTTTATAGGAATAGGAGCCCCTCGCTAGTTAACTAGGAAGAAGCCGAATTAAGGGTAGTAGAGGATTTTGTTAGTAACATTGCTAGAAGGATTAACGTTAAGTTTTATCGAATTAAGCTTATAATTAATAAGCTATATCCGGAGCATCTATCCCTACTTAAGGAAATAGAGATACTTAGTGCCGCTATAACTAAGCTGTTTAAATACTATAATATTAATAGTAATATCTTTACTCTAGAATTAGAGACTTAATATTACCTATATAGGAACCCTAAGAGAACTTTAAGAACGTAGACGAGCTCCTATAGGAATAGCGAGACACCCGAGAAAAGGGAAGCTAACCTCTACGAAAGCGTAGTACGCGAAGATAGTATAAACTAATTTTATTTCGCTCTAAAACTTAATTATATAGGGTATCGCTAATAGGCAGCCTACCGCTTATAGTACAAAAAACAGCCCCTTAGGGCGCCTAACGGGTCTTAACGTCGAAGTAGGGTCGACGTTCCCTATAAACAAGAAAGAAAAAATAGGACCTTACGGACCCCTTACGGCCTAAGACAATTAGCCTATAAATCTGCGAGCGAACATTACTCCGGCAGTACTAAGACCGGTCTTAGCTATTAAGCTAACTAGGTTACGGGATAAGGAWARCGTAGGAAGAGCTCCTATAGTAGGAGCGGAAGACTTATTAGGTCTTACTATACTAGGAGGCGGCGACGACTACCCGACTTCTCGGGGCGGTAGATCCCGGAAGCGCCGGGGAACCTTAGCGTATTCCTCGCTAATAGCAGGTCTAGGAAAGAGAGGGCCTATACGGGGCGGACCGGCGTCGGTAGCCTTAAGTTTCTATAATTCGCGGCGTATATCCTCTAGCTTAGGTATAACGTCGCGGCGAGTAGGAGTATATTACGGAATAATCCCGTAGGGACTCCCCGTAGTAATAATCCCGTATAGAAAAGACCGCTAGGGATAAATAAGATAGGGAAGGCCGTAGGACTAGTAATCTTATATAGACACGCGACGTTAGGATAGAGCGGGTAGAATAGGATCGCTAAGAGCGTAACTAGGTTAGGTAATCTAGGTGCTAAGCCGAGCGCTCCTCCTAGTGCTACTTAGACTAACTAGACGCCCTACTTAAGCGCTTAGAGCGCTCGCGCTTAGATTGCTTAGATAGCTTACCTTTATAGTTAGTATATATAGAAGCGATATAATCCCCTATAGAGTACATCGCGTATAACTTACTATTTTATCTTACTTATTAGAATAGAACATCCTACTTTACTTTACTTTATAGACTTCCGATAAGCTCTAACCCGATCCCGCCTAGCTTAGCCTTTTAGCTTAGCTTAGTAAGATTATCGAGATATTTATATCTTAATAGAGTAACGAGCCCCTATAGCTCTAGGATCTCTAAGCGGGTACTATCTCCGGTTATACTATTAATCCGTAGGGCCTCCTTAGYTACGTCTATATAGGCGGTATTCTTAAAGAGCTCCTCGAGAAGGAGCTTACGAGCATAAACCGCCTCGTACGATACTAAGCGTGCCTAAGTCTTATTCTCCCGGGGAACGGGGAATGTCCTATAGCTATATAGCTTAAAGCGCCTATAGAACTTATCTACCTAGAAGTCGACCTAATCTTAAAATAATAGGTGCTCCTCGCTATAATCTCTAGCGGCGATTCTACGAGCATTATCTAAAAAGATAGCGTTACGGTCCGCCTACGGATTACGAGTAGGCGTCGTAAGGAAAGGATCGGCACCGAGCCGACGTAGCGAAGGAAGACGACTAGAGAACGACGTACCTATACCGCTTACGGATTTAATATTAGAGGCTTACTCCGCCTCGTCCTCGTTCTTAGCCTTAGTTAGCGCGCTAGCATTAGACTTATTATTACGTTTACTCTTCTTAACCTTCTTAGTCTTCTTCGTCTTCTTAGTCTTCTTAGCCTTCTCGGTAGTAGTAACCTTCGCGGCCCCCTTACGGCCCTTACGGCGGGAAGACTTAGCGACCTAGTCGATATTATCGAGGTCTATAACCTTATCTATATCCGATAAGGCATTAGAGGACACCTTACGGGCCTTAAGTTCGCCGTCCTTACTAGTGTCTATCGGATTACTACTTAATAATAGAGAATACTTATCCTCGGAGTTATTACGGGTAGTAGAGGCGAGCGAGAAGGGGATCGCCTTATTATTAAGGCGCTTATTTATGTTTAGGGTCTTCCCCTAGGTAGGCGTACCCTTACGTTAGCTCGTCTTTTTATATT